AGGGTAAGCACTGAAAGCAAAACATGCAGAAATCTTCCAGGACTCAAAGGCTCAGGTCAGCTAACTGCACGCAGACTGCGTTTCATGGGGGGTTGTGGCAGCAAAGCTTCACTTTCTGGCTGGATTAACTTTGCTTGAGATTGTTTGCAGAGCGGTCACACGTCCTGCCTCTGAGCGGACAGAGGGGCTGAGAGCCACACAAAATCCTTTCACTTCACAGAGATCCATTCTCCTCCAAAGAAAAGTAGGGCAAGCCGAGGTGCAGGTTTGAAGGCCCAGCTGAAAGCGCTGAGCTTTTGTTATTTTGCAGACCAGTGCCTTTCAGTTATTATTTCTTATTTTATTTATAGCACGACTCCAAACTGAGTACATATTTCGCTGTGGGGTAAGTAAAAGACTAAAGAAGTGCCTCAGAAACCAGCCGGGGTCAGGCACAAACCCAGCACTTCCCCAGCGTAGCTCGGAGGGGAAAGCTGCAGGGCTGCCCCACGGCTCTGGCCGTGCCCCCCTTCCCATAGGGAGCTGCCCACAGAGCCGCACGCCCGACCCCGCCATGAGGGAGAAGGCCGCGCGGGGGGATTCGGGAGCAGCCGAGCTGCGCTGCCCGCCCGGGAACCAGCAGGCGGCTTCCCGCTCCGGCGGGCGCAGGCACGGAGACGTCTCCCTCTGCCGAGCCGCCGCCGCAAGTGCAGCTGGTGCATCCGGCCCAGGGTCCCGGCGAGCCGAGGGCTTTTTGCAGCCGCTCTGGAAGAGAAGCGCTGAGAGTGCTCAAATGTGTTGCCGCGGGACTAGGAAACAGCGAATATGAGCGGAAAGCGTTCTGCAAAACGGCATGTTTTGGTTTCGTAGATACAAGGTTTTAGATTTTATGCACAAAATCAGCAGCGTCCACAGTGCACAAAAAACATACAAATGATTTAGTAAAATACACACTCTCAACTCAACTACCTAATTCACAACACTTATTACCTGTTGGCATCAACACAATCCAGGCTTCTCATTTTAGAAATCTCTCCAGGCAACAGCCATCGTTATGAATTGTTAGAGCCGGCTGAGTGACTCAGCATCCACACTGAGTTGGCCAGTTCTGCATTGCCCCCATACTATCAGTGCGAGCACGAGAAAAAAAACACAACTGGGGCACGACTGTTCTATAGGCTTCTTCAAGAGTCAATTAAATACTTAATTTACACTTTATTCATATTATTTTCCCATCTAACAACATGAAAGCAGCAATAAAACCACTGGAAACCATGAAAAGGAATTGAACGAGGCAACCTGGAGTCCTGTTATTATCTGAAGGCAATCAGTCATCTCAGTACCCTATCTTCATGCATGCTACTGGTGAAGTCCCAGAACTCCAGCAATACTCCAGTTGAATTTCCCTGGGCAAGGACACAGCCTAACAAAATGCCTCACACCTGATTTGCAGCATTAACCTTGTTTCAGTGTGCTAAATTATCTGGATGATAGCAACACAAGTGCTGATAGGTCCCTTGGGGAAAATAATAGATTCTTCATTTTTACTAAGGTCAGTGAGAAGACTGGAGATGGAACGATACCTCATCTTGACTTGTTTTTCTGTGCATCTCTTTTATAAGTGATGTGACAAGGAAGTACTTATTCTTTTACCTTAGCCAGATTTCTGGTGAATAAATCAGATTCATTAAGAGAAAGCAGATACATAAATAGACATACACTCACCATAAACAGCGCTTGAATTTATCCACAGTCTATCTACAAATGGTATTTAAGAACATCTGTTGTCAAAAAAGTTTCCAAGTTTCCATCTGCAACACAGCTGCTGCAGCGTTAAGGCTAATACATGTGGGGAAGAAAATAATGAAGGGGCAAAGATACTGATGGAGTCTTTGAAACTGCACCACTGATCAGATTATGTGAAAGTCACTCAAGCAAGTGTGAGAGATGCACTGGTAGGAAAATCACCTTTTGCACTGGCACAACAGAAAAGTAAGGGAAAATGTTTTCAGTGATGACAGGCAATTATGCAAAGGTGAGTGGAAGCAGCTTCCGATTTCTTCATTAGCTGAAACTTACACCTTATGATACATTTCTGTATCTGAAGAAAGATAGCTACAAATCCAGTGCTTATGCTAATTCCTACTCTCATTTTTTTTTTTCTTCCCATTTTCCATGAGAGATGTTTTTAAAGGAATGTGTACGACACTGTGATGTACAAGTTTGGATTCCCTTGTCTACTCAGGTGGGAGGTTCAACATCTATGGTTCTATCTTCTGCCAACCACTATCTCCAGAACCAATTCAACTTCTAGCTGCAGTGCAAAAATGCTTAAAAAACTGAAGAGTTGGAGCTGACTGGCTACCATATGGACAAAGCAGAGATGAGGAAAGATAAATGGATAGATTTTTTTCCATTTTCCCCTTAGGTGGTTTATACTTTCTGTATGTTTGAAGCAGTCCTAATGACGCCACCGCCGATAGCTTTGACTGCTTGTAGCTGATGTCTTCTTCTAATATATTTTCCACCTGTAAAACGTCCAGTTAGTTTTTGCCCTTAGGGAGAACTGCTGGGCAGAGGCACCCATGTTTAAGGAAAGAGTGAACATCCTGACCTGACACAACAGGTCCTCACCACGCTCATACCTGTGCCTTTGCTCAGTCTCAGATTAACCTGCTAGCTAGCTGCTGAACCGCCAATCCTAAGCACATTCTTACTAAGGTCCTCAGTCCTACCTCAACCATGTGCACACCCCACATCTTCTCTGTTATCTGAGCTTACAACATCTTTAAAGCATCTTTCCTTTATGCTACTGCATTGCTTTCCATCTTTGTTCTCCTTTGAGATGGATACTACAATATTATCTTGTTTTTTCTGCAAATAACAAGAATAATTAAGTCATTGAAACATTACCTGAACATTGTTAGGGCTGCATTCATTTCTTGAATCATGGAAAGAAGAGCTCCAGAAGTGAGATTTCTCTAATTCTGCAAGCTGCTGTGTGATTATGCAAAGCTATTCTCTTATGTTTTCTGCCAGACAAAATATGTAGACACTTTTCTTGCGTTTTGGAGAGGAATTGCTGTGCATGTGCATAAATGCTGTATCTCTTCCTTGAATTAAAATGAGACCTTACATAGCTGGTAAATTGCACATTGCTGGGGTGAGCAGACTGGAAACTCAGCACTGAGCCTCATTTCACAGCACATCATTGCTTGTCTCAGCAGTGAGGCATCCTGTAACGGACTTGGTCTGGTTTTTCGTCTGTAACTCATCGTGTAAATGCCAGCCAAATTAAAGCAAAGCAGATGGGACCAGTCATTTGAAGATTAATGAAGCTACTTGCATTATAAATTAACTTGAATATATGTATTTTAATGAAAAAGGATCCTCTCTGGTTCCTAATAGCTGGTCAAGAGAAAAGGATCAAGCAGTGAAAATAGCTGAAGCTTAGCAGAACACACCTACAAGGAGTTATTAAAGTGATTAACTCGTTACAAAGTTAATCCCCATTAAAAGGAATTATCAGTCAGGGACTGATAATCAGTCGTTTCTTTTTCAGGTTCCTACATGACTTTTTGAATGCCACCATTTTTCTTAAAACAGTGAAGTAAAGCAAGCAAATGTGGAAGAAATCATCAGGGATTATTCACCATCACGTAGAGAGGCTTTCATTCATCTGTGGCATTCACAGTGTCCTCTGAAACTTTCTAGAACTTTAGCTGAATGGAAGTTACTGAATGTTTTCCTCTGTATGATGGCTATGGAGGAGAACAGGATATCAGAAATTAGTACAGCAAACAATTCTTTTTTGTTTTACCTCTTCAAAATGAAGCAAGCCCCTAAACAGGCCCTGAAAGTGTTCCCCTGCATTGCAGAAGCACTGGTTATTCTTTAACCAAAATTAAAGCCAAACACAAAGAATAACTACAAAATATTTCCAGTGCTGCCCTAAGCTCTGAGCTCACCGTGGTTCTCAGTCTGCACAGCTGATCCATACATCACTGTGCTGACTCCTCAGACTGCTTTCTCTTGTGCAGCCCTCAGGAATGAGCAGGTGCTAAAAGCCTGTCCAGCAGCTTTCTTTTTAATCAGAGATTAGAAGGAGCTTTGTGTTGGTTCATTAGCTGCAGGTGCTGAAGGCACATACAGCTGTGGCTATTGCCATACTCTTCCTCAGGAGTAGGACCTGCCATTTCAGAGAAGTACACGACTCTTTAAGTCATTAGACAAATCAACTGCAATGTTGAGAGATCAGTGTAGGTATCTGGGCTGTTCTTCATATATAGACTGTACTGCAAACAAAAATTGTAAGCTGAAGAAGTAACAAACTCAAGGTTTCTAAGGGATGATTTTTTCTAAGTAGCCTTAGAAGGAAGTTTGTTCTTATGCCTCTACTGATTCCAGCACTGAAGGTCGAGGAGAATATAAACAGGAGCAACTGCCCATATTCTAGAGATTTTTAATTTTATTTATCTTTTTACAGGAAACTTAGGTGTAACAATCAAAAAGACCAATGCAGTGGAAGAGTGACACAAGAGATACAACACCTTTCTATCACTCCAGGCCCTTTGTTATTACAAAGGAAAGGTACTCACCCATCTCCAAAGACCTAGGCTCACAGGGAAAACTCCACAAGAGAAGGACCTCCAACTACAGACCCTTCCCCAATTTCTGTCAGCCCTTAAACCAGGTCTAAGAGAGGTGCAGCCAGGCTCCACCTCTTCTGGTCACTCAGCTGAATTGCCTTCACCTGTGCTCCCAGGGTTGACTGGGTCCTTTCCCCACATGTACAATCAGAGGTTCAGGCTATGACTCAACAGTTCCCATACACTAGGGGAAATGCAGATGCTTGATGAAATATGACATATAGAAATATGAGTACCATCTGTAAAAATAGAACTTGAACTACTGTACTGAATACAGGCAGCAAGTTCCTTTGATATAAGGGCTAATTTCACAAAACTGTGGTACTTAAAAGCAGTCTTCCTGCAGAGTGTGCTTTATCCCTGTATGAGCACAGTTTGACTTTAGGACAACTTAGACTAAAAATGAGAGGCAAAAAACCCCTCATTTTATACACATCTGATATTTTTTCTTGTCTTCCTTACAGTAAAGTGCTAAACACGATGGCTTCTTGTATTATTCCAGAGAGTTTCTTTGAAATATAGGCGTGTTTTGTTGTAATTTTTGTTCTCGTCTACCCACTGACTCAGCCTGCAGTGTAGTGCACGATGTAAGCTGTTGTGTTGATGTAAAACTGAGCTTTTAGAAATTCCATTCATTGCCTGTTTCTGGGTCCAGTGTATATGAACTCTTTGGCACAATCTGGACAAGGCCAAATGTCTTCCTGGCTCCACTACAGAATATGTGGATTTTTTGTTGTTGGCTTTTTTGTTTGGTTGGTTGTTTTTTGTTTGTTTGTATCTTTGTTTTTGTTTTTCTGGACTATTCACAGGGATTTAATAACCACAACTGTGCTTTTCTTAAAACACTGCATGCTCCATAGTACATGCAACTAAACGGTGTGACCTTTTAATCATCACACCCACATCATTGAATAGACAAATAAGCCAACAGAGACACAGCAGATTCTGACTATGCCACATTATTCTTTATAATGAGGAAATTATGAAGCTTAGAATTGTGAATAACAGCAGAATTACTAGATTTGTTAATACAGATCTGAGTACACTGTGTCTGAGTTCAAGTCAGTTTATAACTGTTGTGATCATGCAGATTATTAGCTGCATTTTTTGACATTTAGATGTCAATTATGCTGGCTTCTGGAATTGGACTGATTTTTACAACAGAATGTCATTATAGCACTTGCAGTGACATCAAGAACAGAACTTCAGCTTGATCTTCCTCTACAGAAGCTCATTAGAGATTCACATAAGAAGACAACCAACACGTGCTATTGCCATGGAAACAAGTTGGAATATTACGAAGCAGTATAGCCCATATTCCAAAATAGAGAGGACAAAGTCAGAGCAATTATAGCACAAGACTGACAGGCTTTTTATTTGCAGCCCGTATGGGTCAAAGCAAAACCTAACTCCTGCTCTTTGAAATAAACATCACCAGTGCAGTTTTAGGATTCTGGTTTCTGTCCTTTATTTGCAAACACAAAAACAATCCAGTGAGTTTAGTTTATGTTTTACGGGAGGGAGGAGGCCAAATGAAGGAAGAAGCATCACAGCAGGTGTGTAGGTGTGGCAGTGTACAAAGAACAGACATCACAGACTGATAAGAGAAATGAGTCAAGTTCAAGTCAAGCAGTGAGGTTCTAATAAAACGGAGGTGAGCAAGACCAGCAGAAGCTGAACCTCTGGTGTGTCATTACGATTCAGAAGAAAGACTAGTTTCAAATGTGATGGCTACCCAGTATCAGTGGCCAGGACACAAAGGGTAACATTCCTTGTGATCTGTATTAAATAGGTGACTCACAGTCTCCAGTGTTGCCTAGGTAGTGGAATGGACATATTGTATGTATACCACATGTAGGCAGTCTAGCTTCCCAGGCGTCTGCATGTGAATACGAAGACAGAGAGTTCTTTAAGCCATTTATAACAGCTCCGTCTGGACGAGTTTTCAGTGTTGTAAGAGCTCTAATCATTTTCTCTGAGTATGGAGTGCCAGCTATTGCACATGTATTTTTTTTTTGTTTGTTTGTTGACAGTACTAAAAAGTTTAAGAATTCTGAGCAGAAGTATTTTATCCTTCATGCAAAAAGCCCAGGATTGCCACTTCATTCACATACAGGTTCTACTTTTAAGAAACACTTAAGTTTCAGCTGAGCAATCACTTCTCCAAAGACACTGTAGGGAAAAATAAAGCTTAGGAAAGAGAGTAACAGGATTTTAGGGAGCATTCGAGAAGCCTTGAGTGATTGTGCCATGAGTTTTCCACTACAGAGAGTTACTGTGAGATTCAAAATCACTTATCAGAATGATGCCACATGTGAATGAGAACAAATACTATGGTACAGGGATAGTCCGTGTCTATTAAAGCAGGCTTTGGGAAGCCTTCTAATGACTGCATATGAGATATGTGGTATGCTACTATTTAATTAATGACTTAAAAAACTGATAGGTTACATTCACTGTAACAACTCCGGCTTGTTTTTGACTGGATTGGCTGGAAAAAAGCAGGATAAGAGCATGATTGTGGGAGAAAATGGAATACAGTATAGATATCTGTTGCAAAATTTTATTTCCAGTAAAATGTACAAAAGTTAATAGCAAAGAGTACCACTTACAAAAAGCAAAATATCAGATACTGTGTTAAAAGAATTCTAGATCAATTTTTTTTGGTAGAGCCAAGCAGAGAGATATAATGTGATACACTTGACACAAACACTGGAAAATAGCAATTAGTCTTTTTAATCTTGGCATATAAATTTAATTTCCCAAACAGTTAAGTTAAATTCTGTAGTACTTCCTACTGCTTTCTTTTCCCCAAACCTTTTCCTTGCTTTTTTTGGCGTGCATCTTGGCTTTTCTTCTCTTGCTCTGTTTGCAGCATTGCTTCATGAGCTGCCAGCTCTTCACGTTTTCTGAGTTCAGCCTTTAACAGCTTGCTTCTGTATGCTTCCCGAATGCTGTGAACTCTGCCTCGCATTTCATCTAAGGATGCCTAGGTAGGCAGAGACAAAAAGCAACATCCTCACTCTAACGCATGAAACTGTGTTTCATCACAAGCAACTGCATCACTGAGGTTGTATTTCACTGTCTGACAATATAAGTACAGGTAAGGCACATCTCCTTTCCCTTGGAGTTGGTCATGCATTTTTATTGATCTCTCATGGAGACATAGATATGTGTCAGTCTTTCACCATGAATAAAAAAACAAAGTTCATGAAAATTCTTTTTAAATTGCTGGCTGAATAAAATAATTATGGGCAAGGAGAATAGGGCAACATAGTTACCCATTTGGATCAAGTATAGATTCAGTCACTGACTCGTTTTGTTGTCTTAAGCAATTTCCTTAAAAAATAATTTTCAGAACTACTCAAATAGTTCAGGAGATCGCATCTCATTTTCAGGAGACTCAAGGAGCCTAAATCACACTGACCTTCAATGAGACTTAGGCCAAATGAGACTTGGACACACAATTTTTTTTTAATGTTTCCATCCTGGGAAATGGGGATACCTGAAGACATTTAACATAATTTTCTACAGTCTACAGGTGAAAAAACTGTAAAAGTACTAATCAGCACAGTATGCATATTCACAAGTAACTCACATTTTAAATTACTACTGTGAAAGATTGTAAATGCGTTTTCTAGAGAAAGCTGAGAAATTGCTTAAGAAATATTTGCCTATAACATATGTTTGTCATCCAAAATTACAGCAACATCTGAAAACTTGGACATGTTATTATCAAGGATTAGGGATCAGTCAGTCACTGGTAGAGGACTATGGCTCCTTTCATGCTTATAGCTAACTATTACAAATGAAGCCGGGTGTTTGTTCAGGAGGCATTTTCAAGTTATTTCTGTTAAGAAGTTGATCAAATCCAAAATTATTTTTACTGTTTACAATTTTATGGGTTCCACAGAGTTACTAGACCATTTTTAGTAGTAATTGTATCGCCTCTATGTGACAAAACATTTTGCTCCAACAAGTCAACAATCTAAGGTTAAGCCAATTTTGTTAGGATATTTGTGCCATGTATGATGCATTGATCACGTTAATCTTAAAAATGGTGCCTTCACTAATGATACCAGAATATCGTGTCTTTTGGTATCATGCATATTCCAAGAAGGCTCTATTCTCCAACTTTGCTGTAGGACATACAAGGAGAAGCTCACTCTCTTACATAATTATCTTTTTTTTTTTTTTTTAATTACTTTTCCAAACCTCATAATTCCATAACAAAAAACAACCAAACAACAGCAACCACCACCAACCAAAAGAGAGCACTAGTCATATTATAAAACACTCAATTTATTCTCACTTTAAACAATACTATTATGGTGACAGTCTTAAAATTACATATTTGCAAGGAACTATAACAAGAACGTACTACAAATATTTAGAACATTGTATAGTATATTAATATATTTTTTTTCTTCAAAGCTTTAGTTTTAACCATTTTTCAAGTTAAAGCTTGTATACTGATTCTAATTACTGATACCAGATACAAATGTTTAAAGAATTGTTGATCAAGATATTCATGATAGTGGTGGATATTACAGGAACAGTTACTGGAACGTAATCTGGAAAACTCACCTGTAGATTCTCATACATTTCAAGCAAATTTTGCTTCAACAAAGCTCTAGCATGTTGATCCATTTCTCTTTGTTCCAAAGCCAGCTCTCGAAGTTGCCTAAAATGGTTAATTTTTTCCACTTTGCATTTCTCTTGCTGTTGAATTATAGATTCATTTCTTAACACGGATTCAGACGTTGTTTTTCTGAAGGAAATAGAAAGATATTTGTCTCATTTCAAGTACAATTTCAGATGGTTTATATTTACCTATATGCATATATTTGGTTTATATCAAGCAAAGTAGGCATTGTACAGTTCAATATGATTAAGGGATCACTTTTCCTTTCTTGTACATAACACTGATGAGGAAATATATTGCTGAGGCCAGGTCTTCTTATACTTGAATGTCTACTTTAAAATATTGGTAAAATCATGCTCATCTTTGAGCATATGAAAAACTCCTACATGTGACACTTATTTTTAATTTGCAAGAAATATCTTAGTTCAAGATGTTTTAGATATTATAATATAGCACTAAGACAAATGTATTTTTTTTCCATGGGCATAATGGCAGTTAAGTAGATAATATTTTGCAGTAATTTGACTCAAATGACTCGTGTTACAGTGGAGGAGCTGAAGAAAAATTAAATTCTTCCAAAGCTCAAGCCCATGGAAGATATTTTGACATATTTTCTGATCTTCTAGTGTTATTAATTTCAATATAACACCATTGTCCCTTTAAATTAAAAACTGAACTTGAGGAATTTTTCAGCACATTCTGAAGTCTTTTAAGAATGAGTGAGTTGCATAAATGTCACACTGAATACAGATGGACTTAAGCTTGAACTGGGTTCTGTCTGCAGAACATCAAACATACAGGTATATGCTTATGAGGTAGATCCTGACACATGCAATAAAGAAAGTATTTATTTTGAATAAGGAGTATATTTTTTCAGTTATTGAATAAATTGCATTTATTAAATATCTTATTAGAATATACCACCATATAATGACAAACTTCATACGTACTCCTTTCAAGATAACCACTGAAATAAACATATTTGGCTGCATATGCGTTTCCTTAAGGATTTTATGTCACATTTTCATTACAGCAAAACAACTACTATAACGTGTGTAACCTTAAAGAAGGGGCATAAATTATAACAGGATGTAGGAAAGCAGAGATTTAAAAAAACCTATGTCAGATAAATCAAAGTGGAAAATGACCAGGATGCCATCTACACTCACTACTACATGATTCTTTGTATACAGCATAAAGGACAGACAAAACGCGGACTGGATTTTCACAAAAGACATTAACAAGAATGTGACAGCATTGTTGCTTATGCCAATGACATGTGAGGGACAAAGTCTAAATTCACATCTATTACATCGTATTCAAATATGAAGATATTGTTTATAAATATATCGCATTTACTAATTTCTATATACTGAAACCCTTAGTCAGCCTTTCAATTTGGCATCTCACAGGCATTAATTTTTCCTTGATACAGGGTACCTCATGTAAGGACTAAGATCTATAGGCTCCCACTTCTTTTGCTCCATTGGTAAACTTGAGTCGTTTGCTGTTTGTGATGCTGCCTTTTCCACAGTAAGAGAAAAAGAACCTACAACAAAGGAGATTCAATTGGTTACTCAGCATGCCAGGAGGGTCCACCTAAATTGTAACACAGTCATTTTTCTCTTTTGGCTCAGCAAAATATCTTACTAAATGAGAACATGGATTGGACATGTTTTTTACTTCTAACACTTAAAATAGAATCAAAGATGCTGGAAAAAAACACCAACTACATATGCTAGAGTGAAGCTTGTATATGTACTTTAGATAAATCAACACAACACATGAGGGAGTAAGACAGAATTATCAATTTTAAATGCCTAAAGAATAAATTAAAAAAAAAAAAATCAGCACGGAATCACATTATTTTATAAACAACAAAAAATCTATAAAAATTGGATCACTCCTGTCTACAATTCAAAGAAACTGTATTTTCTTTTGGGCATATGTTTTGTTTGGGAAATGCCAATCTCCCAAAAAAAGTCCCATGAAAATTTGTCAGTCTTCTTCTTAGGATGATTTAACCACATGAATGGTAACTGATTTATATTTTAATGCAGACTTCTCAAAACAGTGACACATTTGATACTAAGCATGCCACTGAGTTGCATTGTGATTGTTCCAGCACTTTTGTTTTCCAGTTCACTTGGCCATATCAGAAAAGCCTGTGAAATTTGGTGAGATTTTATGATGTCTGAAGTAGATTATACCATGAAAACTCTTATTGCTCTATTAATTGTAGTAGTCAATTGAAACAACTACAAATCATTTAAAAGATATTTCTATACTAATGACCACTGCTTCCAAATTTCAAATTGAACGAGTATTTCCCACTGAACTTCCAGAAATGTCAGCTTTGCTTAGGGTTGGAATTCTACTGTGAAAGGACTGCCTAAACTTGGCTTACGGGTAACTTAGCAGCCTATGAGGGCTATGAAACTGTATCTGTGTCTGAGGCTGGAACAATGCAGCAATTAAAACAGAGGGTATAAAGAAGGCAGATACTAAGCATGCAATTGTGGATTTGGACTTCATTATTGAGGCTGCTCTTTCCATTTACTAACAGTATTTAATGCAAATGCCTTTGTTAAAAAACTGAATGATTTATGCAGAATGCTTTAAATTATATTTAATTTCACATTAAAACACTGGTTGTGATATGTATACAGTGTATTTGAGACCTCATAGTAGGAAATCCTGTATCATGGACTTTGTTTTTCTTTTTTTAAAGTGATTAATATCCCTTTATATTTTAAAATTATAATGTTCAGAAGGAAGATGACATGCTGAAAGTTACACCCTTACCTCTTTCTTTTGATTTGGATGATAAAGTGGCAATGTCCATCCCAGCTATGGGCTCCTCAGAATCTTTCGCAACATACTTATTAATAAATTGCATGCGTTCCTGAAAAGCCTACAGATCAAATTTTTAATTGAATACTTTAATTCCAAACCATTTTCTGAAGTAGGAATCTTTAAGTGATCAATGGTGCAGTAAATCTTTGAACCCAGCACATGTTGAGATATGATGCTACTTTATTATTGCTAGTGAGTACACTTCACTGGTTGGATCTATGATTCTATGATCTATGGAAACATCACTTTCAACAATATGAATAGCATTAGTGAGACAACAGATAGAAAAAAAAAAGAAGATAAACACAAGAGGAATGTGCTTCGTGTCAGTCATATTCAAGTAATCACTGCAGTAGATTTTTTTTCTGAAATAATGACCTGTAAACATTAACCATCTAATTTTTCCAGCTATAGATAGTAGGTATCCCAAATGATAAAACGATGCTGTCAGTAACAAACCTAACACCAAAATGCACTATACAACTCTGCCTGAGGCAGGAATTAGAAAGGATGCTAGAGTTCCCATTACAAGAGGCTTCGAATACATACATTAAAGATCACCATGAACTACTGGAAAACCCTTTATCTCTCAGTAGCTTAAAATAATGTTTGGATTTTTAAAAATAAAACTCTGAAAGTAGGGTCTGTTCCCTCATAGCTGAATAGAGGTTCAGAACTCCTCTCACTGCATCTCCTTAGGGAGCTAGTGCTTCCTCCTAAGAGCTCCTGGTGACTTGGACTTCCTCCTGAGGAATGGAAGCTATGGGTGCAAACCCTTTCAGGCTCCATTGCTTCTGATGCTTAAATACAGACATCACCACTCTGCTTGTCCTTTCAGATGGTGATTTGGGCTCACTGGGCTTTCTCCTAAGGGTTCAGATTGTCAGAATGGGCAGAGGAGCCAAATGTTACCCTGGAACCAGGGAACCAATTCCCAGAGTGATCAGGTGTGTGATGTAGGAGACAAGCGATCAGGAGGAACAGAGAAAGGAAGCTACTTAGAACAGCAGACCCTCAAGTTAAACCTTTTTTCATTGTATTAGATGAAATTGCCAAAATTTTCTTAGCAACTACTTTGGAATAGTATTATAGACCTAAGAGGCTACTAAAATGGAAACCTTTAGCTGTAATTAAGTTGATTTTCAGAGTAAATAAAAGGCAGTGAAGATAGAACCACTATTCTGGAGAGACTGTGCACATCAAAGCGGAGACATTTCCAGCTCATCTTCAGGAAGCTGAAGATTTTCAGTCTCAGCACAGCCAACCAAATCTGCAGAGTAATGCATCTCTTCTTAGATCAGAATGCATAAAGTAATTTTGGAACGTTTTATGAACTTTGGATATGCTGAAAAGAAATGAGAAAATTTGCAAGCATAGCTAGGGAAGACTCATGACTGAGGCTTCACTTCTCAGAGCTAGATACCTTTAACACTGTTGTGCCAAAGGAGCCAACTTGCATTTGACACATTTGAACTATCTGAACTAGTACTGCTTCTCTAAACAGTGAATTCATACAGAGCAGTATATACTGGCTCACAGGTACCTGCAACTTGGAATGAATTTGGGAATTCTAAATGTAGGAGACAATTAGATTGATGATGTGACCAGGTGCCAGTTTATCTTTCTGTTACACTTATAAAAGCGTATTTCTTATTATATTCTCATTATGTTCAGCTTGCCACAAGTGACAGCTTTGCAGTTGTGTAGAGGCAGTGGGTGTTGTAAAGAGAAACATTTTCTGTTCAGTAAATAGAACCTTAAAGTGTAGGTAATCTCAAGAAATCTGAAGAGACAGTGTAGATTCCTGCCCACAAGTCATGCACTTTTGATTCTTTAGGCTGTGTAAAATTCCCTGTCATCCACAAAATGATGAAGAGAGGGAGTCAGATGAACTTGTTTTCTCTGTTGTGAAAACTGCTCTGTAATCACAACAGCTCCTGCAACTTGTGAAGACATATTACCATGCAGATTGCACTTTGATTACCTTGACAGCTCTTCCTGGCTCTGCAGACTCCCATGCTTGCTTCATGGCTCTGATCTCATCTGCTCGCTGTGTGTCTCTCTTCACCTCCAGAATTTCCATCTCTCTCTGCTCACTAACGAGACGTAAAGTCCAGTATGGTTTGTTTATAGCATCTTGCTGAAAGTGGAAGTACCATGGACATGATTATTGGTATTTATTGGTATTTACCTATGACTACTATTTAAGACGAAGCTTTATACTCTGGTAATTTTCATTACTGGCAGACATTATACATCAATAGAATTTGTCACGCATTGCTAGACAACAACTGACTGCCAAAGGAAAGGAAAGGAAAATTTCTCTGGAATATTCCAAACTTCAAGATCTTTTGTATACTTCTTTTCCCCTCTACCCATACCCGATACAACATGCTCTACACTCCAAGCTCTTCTCAACTGTCTGAATAGGAGTATTTGCAGCAATTTTATTCATCACTGGAGCTGAAGGCAGAAATCTGACACAGCCTGAAGTTGTATGACATTTACATGGCCAGCTTTGTCAAATGCAGCCACTCTGATTGCTCTGCTAGAAGGGTTAAGGCACTGTTCCTGAAATGTGCATAATTAGGTGTGGATGTGAATCACAGAGAAGCTTGCTGTTCAACAACTTAATCAACAAAACAATACAGTGGAGATTTCTTCATGAAAAAATCTATGGAAAAGCCCTCTTCGTGAACCACTTCCCATGAACCAGGAAAAATAAAAAACAACCATGAAGACCTGTAAATTTCTTTGCCTTTCATTAGTCTCTTTGCAATCCATAAAGTCAATTACTCCTTTAAAAGCTGGTCAACCACAGCACAATCAGATCATCCTACCACAAAGTGACGAATTTGCAAGTAGGCAAGTAAATATCAATTTTTATGCCACAATATATCCACAAAATAATGGCAATTGGAAAGACCTATTTTATTTCTCTGATGATTCTGTGAAAACCAGTACTCCAATTGGACATAAATATGGCAAATTAATGGAATTTAACAAACAGAGATTAGAGACAGAAAATAAACATCCAAAAGAAACACTCAGTGGTTGCTTTATACATTAGCAAAGTAATGAGCACATCTCTAATGTAGGATATAGGTCTTTTGCATGTGTCATTCAATCATCCTCAGGTGAGGAACATGAAGATGATGAAGCAGGGCATAGAGAAACACAGGAAATACACTAAAAGTGCTAGTAATTCTGATCTGCAGAAGCTTTTACACTTAGTACAGTGATTTCACATTCAACAAATCCAAGTTTTTAGATTTTTCTCACCTGAAATTCAGGTTGAAATACAAGAGACATAAGTGATCCTTTTTCTTTATTGGACTTCTCCCTTTCTGACTTCTCAGTTGCTTTATCTTTCAATTTTTTGGTTGATTTTGGAATACTTGCAGACCTTTGTCCTTCAAAATGATAGAGCTTTAGGTGAAAACTGTGGTCCTCAAGCTTTTGCCCAGGTGCTGTTCACGCATATTTATGATGCACGATGAATTAGAAGATACCATTGTCATCCATAAGTGTATTAACCCATGTAATATCCAGGATATAACAGCACAAGACAGCCACAGGAAAGACAAAGAAAAGTCTTATGTAATCAGTTGACACTGTTAAGTACTACACCAATATTAATTGTTGGAGCAAGAAAGAATCTGGAGACAATAAAGCTTTTGAAAGCAAGCTTATGGAAATAGACTTATTACAACAGCTTCCATTGTCCTTAACAGCATTTTACCCAGGAATTAAATGGTTTACCGTGGTTCATGCATATCAGTAACTGCCCTGTTGTTCTGTGTATAAATCAGTCCAAAGAAGAGAATGATATTCTGTAGCTAGCAATCTGATTATTAGTTTTCTTACACAGTCTCTGTCACAAAGGTGAAAAGCTCAAAGTAAGTAAAGTCAGTGTTCTCATTGCCTCATGTCCCTGTAAGCCTGAAAAACTGAGGAGCAGAACACACACACACGAAAAAAAATCGAAAAATGTAAGGAAATTAAGGCAACAAAACATATTCAAGACTCAGTGCATACCTGGGAAAATCAAAACGATCATTCTCGGATCAATCAGAGAAATTTTTAAAAATTTATTTTAATTAATTACTTAATCAGTACATGCATATGCTGTATGTATGATCTTTGTTAAATTGAATAGCTGATAGCTAACCTAACACTTTCATTCTTCACTGTCTTAGATGGTAAGAACCATTAACAAGCTTTTTTTCATGCTGTGAATTTTTTATAAAAATAAAAAAGAATAAGTAAAGCCTGCAATAGCAAACAGCTTTAATAGCATGGGAACACAGCAAATGAAACAAGCTGGACTGGATTCACAACAGTACAGGATTAAAGATCAGAGTCTGAAATCTCTATTTCACTTCACCTTTATGCTGCTTGAAACACTAAAACAAATGCTGAAAAGTGGGATTTGATCAATGCAATCAAACAGGCAATTTCTCTTGGCATAAAAGAGAAAATGAGTCTGAAGATAATAATGAGGTATCTTTCACTTAATGCTGTGTTTCTAACCTCTTTCCACTGAGGAAAGATCACTGTGCTGCTTGATTTGATCAGAAGTCCGCTGAAGATAATCCACTGGCTTTAATGAGATTTGGATCAGATATTCAATGTCAGGGTTATACGAAAATATAACATGGTAAATTTGAAAGATATACAAGCAAATTAATAATACACTTATACTATCTATATGCACAAATACATATGATATGCATGTATATCATATCATACATTATACACATGTTTATGTATACTTTACATTCTTACCTCCTTATGCTACTTACATAACATACAATGGTACCAAAGAGCTATGTTTAAATTCATTCAGTGCAACCAAAACATACAATAAAGAATGAAAGCAAAAATTAAAGCAGTCTCCACAAGTACTGAAAATAACAAAACATCTCCAGAAAAAATGCAAATATAAAATAAATACTGACGGCATTATCTGAAGTTATAATACCATTATATAAAAACCTTTCCATTTAATTTCACATTGTCATAACATATTAGGAGACAAAGACTATTTGTGTAAAGAGATGCTACGAACTTTGGCTTCTATAAAGATTTTGTAATTCTGACTTTTAAAATTTTGCTGTTCTAGACTTCCATACATTGAGGAGTTATTAAATAAATAACATGGGAACAGATGAAACAACAGGGATAAAATGATTAATGCCTTTTTAATGTTTTGTTTACACAAAGTGTTATTTAATAAAACATATTATGAGATATCATATACAAAAATTGTGATTAAGTATTAGTAATGAAATAACATTGCAAGCAGTTCGTCTTACAAATACTGTCAAACAGCAATATTAAGGGTTTATGAAAAAAGAAAAAGGAGGAGCATCAATAAAGAAAAAATACAAAACTATTATTGGATAACTTAATTTCTACCAATTTTTTTTTTAATAATTACTTGTATTACCAGTGAGTAATATGAGTCTTCTAAATGGAGATTACAATTAAAAGATTGGTAAAGGATAACAGAAAGCAGAAATATGTTTTTGACACAATAAATCAGCTTTAACACAAAGCTAACTCCAGATGGCACCATTGCCTTACATGAAATATTAGTGCCTGAAATTTGAGATTTGCTCCAGGAATTTTCCACTTGTCTCACTGCAGTTTTCTTAAAAATCACACTGAGTGGACGTTGTTTTAGATAAGCATCAACACTGCTATGGTACAAATTGTATGGTTGATAAGTGATGCTGACAGCCTTCAATGGTAAATCTTAGTATTCAGATCGCTTTAATTTGAAAACTGGCTCCCAATCAGCACAATATTCAGAGATTAAACGTTGTTTACTCCAAAATATCAACCTGTACAGTAAGTGGTCCAGATAATATTGCTGCTGGTAGGGAGTACATAAAATAAGTACTAAGCAGCAAGTACAGTAAGTGTTGAGATATGTTCTCTATAAATTCTCTTAGTGGCCTGAACAATCTAGTTTTTATTCCAGGTGAACATAGATTGTATTCTTGTATAAAGATAAATATTCAGTTAATCTGAACAGTGAAATGAGTTTTGTTTACTTTGAAAAGCAGCAATTATAGCAGGACACAGAAATCACAACTTTAAAAACATCCTACTAGGAAATTTCTTTTTCACAGATAGTGACTTGAATCTAGTTGACTGTATATGGGACAAAGTACCAGTTAAAATGGTAAGGGAAGCTATGAATAGCAGTACTGCTGCTGGGAAGCAAAGATTAGAGTACCCATGCTATTGACGAGCTCCAGTATCAACAGCTGAGAACTAGCAAATTAATTCAGTGATCAAATGACCTCTTTTGAGCTGCAGCTTCACAGACCATTGTGGTGGTTGTATGAAAGGGTACACATCAAAAGCATGGCTAGTATGCTATGTGCAAGCTGCAGCCAAGTCAGAAGAACAACTGTGTAACAGGGTGTGATTATGTGAACAATACAACAACCTAAAAGAGGGTGAAGCAACAACTGAAAAACCTGCCTGTACAATACATCTGTGAGGCACAGCTCCTTGAATATTATTATACCTGTAATAGAATGCAATCTATCACGCTTGCAACTCATGCAGATGCCTCTTGCCATAACAAAAAGTCAGATATCAATCCACATTTTTGGTGCTCTCTCTCTCTACATGTTATGAAACTGATGTTCTGTTAGCTGTAGTGACAAATAATGTCTAGTACTATCTAAATTGAAATTGAATGCATGAGTTTGCAAGACAATATATTATAGTGGAATATGTATTCTAAATGCCTTGAGAAATTTGCTGTGATTTAGAAGCAAGTACAATAGATCTTCATTTCAAAACACTTCTCAACTAAACAAGAAGAATATGAAAATAACAGGTCTTCATTTAGGCCATTTAGTAGAATTTTACACACATACTGGTGCAGTTAGCACGTGGATGGCAGGATAAGCCCATTGGTGCTGTCTGTATTCACATCAGTGCCTTGAGTGCCTGTCTGGTCTGCCATGTCTGTACATAGCATCAATGCCATGTTCCACCTGTGCATGCCTGCTGGGAGTGCACCATCTGCCTCACTACTGGTTGGACCTGGGGACGTGGAGCACCTGCAGCCTCACCTCACGCCGTAGATCTAGCCTGATGTAATTTCTTCTACAGTGTTAAAAGTCTAAAATGTGTGTTGACACTGGTAAAAGGAGAAGCAAATATACAATATTTACTTAAGATTCCTCTGTCCACTTCCTAATTTGTACACAGAGCACTTTCTAGTCTTGTCTCCTGCCTAAATTCATCTCCCAGTACTACAGAAGTAACGCAGATGTGGAAAGAGGCCTTTTTTTCCTCCTGTTCACGTGTTTTCTTTTGTCAGAACACTGTGCCTTTATATTTACACTTCATTGGTCTCTTAGACTGCTTTGGCAACTGTTCTAAGAAGTTTAGGTACATTTTGCAGAGTATCCTTTTATTTCTGTATCTCTTGTTAACTGAAGGTATAGAAGTACATAACCAAACCCTAGTTCTATGAGCCACAGAACAAAAAGCATTATTGCTTAATTATTTTATTCAGGAAGCAAATAAAAGAAATGCCGTATGGTCTTAGTTTTTAGCTATATAAAAATTTAAAAATAAGTAATGTGAAGCATCCAAGTACATACTGAAGGTGGCATACCTTTGAGTTCAGTTTTCTCTGTTTCTTTCAGTGACTGGACAAACAGAATCTGGCTCTCAGTGAGTGGCCAACTATTATATAACACCAATGCCTGTAAGATATACCTGTGAGACTGTGAAAGAAAATGCGATATGTGAACATGCTGAGGACATAACAGTTACAGTAGGTATTTAAAAGTCCTGTAGGTTAGCAAAGTGGCAACTGTTGAACTCAGCAAATGAAACACATGATTACTTTACAAGCTTGTACATAACATTATTTACAAGAAGCTTAAAAAATTAGTGTTAATTCCACAGATTTCATTTTAATTCCTGTGAAATTAAACAATTACTCATGTGTTTACCAACTGAAAATAAACTGAGCTGTACAATAAGGAGCTACATTCTTTAAAGATTTCCATGTAACTTTCCTATGTATGCCATGTGCTAAGACAAAGAATTCTGTCTTTCATTTTAAGTCCTACTACAGAGCTTTGAACACTAATATCAGCACTCAATGTGTAGAGTTGAAATAGAGGTGACAGGGTCAGTCGGTTATTTCAAACATTTTCGACACTGAAAAGGAAATCATACCAATACTTCTTTTAAAAATTGTTTTCCAAATTTTAAAACCAGATTTAAGTCAAAAGAACAACTTCAGAAATTGTCTTTTTTTTTCTTTTTTTGTTTATTTTTAATATAATGTTGCAGTTGAACCTAACAATCAGGAAGAAAAAAAAAACACACAAAAACACCTGGAGACAGAGAAACAAACAATGCTTGAGAAACAAAACACTATTTTTAAGATAGACAAATAATACCTGATGAAGTCAAGGGAAATGCATGATTCTGACAAACCTCTCTAAGGAAATCTAAGGGCTGAAGAAGCAAATTCATGTGTTAGCAAAGCATTCAGCTGGCTGGTAACAGGTACGTCTCTAGTAAAACTACTAAAATTGCCTTTCTCTTACACTGCGTTTGAAAGACAACTCAGACTGAAGCATCAGAAATTTAAGTTGTTAATGGTATTTTTTTGGCCCTTAGCTGCAAGTCACAGTATACTTGCATTGAACTTTGCAAGTGAAGACTGTCTGAAGACTTAATATGTCTACCTCGATTTGAAAATAAAAACGAGCTCTTGTTAGTTGATTATTCATGTAGATATGTTATCATTTCTCCATGGCCTCATTCACCAACAATCTTAATTTTGGATACTCTGTTCTTGCCTCCTGTTATCAGATCTTAAAATGAATTGAAAAAATTATCAATACCCCTTTATGTTTCCCTCACACACATACACTCTCCAAATCTCCCCAAGTTCTGGTAATTTAAAATCTCTTACTTGTTGTGGACTTCCCTGATTATTTTCAAAGTTTTCCAAGGGGAAAGATTCTTCTTCTAACACAGACAGACGTTCTTGGGAAATTCCTCTCTTGAAAGAACTTTTGGTATCCTTTGGAGCTGAAACATGACTTCTTCTTTTAAATCCACTTTCTGATTCCTTCTTTCCAACGCTTCGAATAATCTGGCTTTTACTTGCTGCAAGATTAATAGTATCAGTGTAAATTTCCAAACGTTCTATGAATTATTAGTATGAGGTAAGCAGATTTCCCCAGAAAATATACAAAAGAAGAGTATTTTCTCATGCTGCATTATCATCATAACCTTCCAATTGAAATTATGGTTATTAGAACTATTATCCTGCATTCATTCAGCACACAAATCACAGATCACTTCAAAGTAAATAATGAGAAATTTGAATAACTACCTAACTGCTGCTTACCGTTCATCATAATTCTAGTAACTTCTGTCCTTACAGAAGTCTCTTATGTCAACATGAATCATCATATTTAACTAAAGCCAATCTTAACAGGAGCCAAAGAACTGTTTGTGATCTATCATGTATAACATTACACCCTGGTCCCTTATAGAAAATATTAATGTGTATAAACTGTGAAACCAGAAATGCGCTAAAGAAAGGCTATAATGGAAACACTAATCCACAAAACTTGAACTTATGCTGGTTCACACGAAAGGAAAATCTCTCAAAAGGGAAGTGAGCAAGAGTGGGTAATTATTTCTCAGGCTAAAGAATTCAAGACCGTTGTGGATTTAGATGAAATTAGTACATAACTCTTGTGATAAATGGAAATAAAATAAAAGCCTAGGAATTCTGAAGGTAGCTGAAAATAAGTTACACTAGCTTAAGACTCAGATTGAAAATAAGCTCTGAGGCATATAAGGATAAATCTCACTGTTACATGTGTTACATGTCTTATGGGTTTTTTTGTTTTGTTTTATCCTCTCGTCACTTTGCTCCATGTTATCAAATGTGTAATTCTGGGGGAAGTATTCTTTTGTCTTCTTCATTTGCTTATAATCAAATTTACCTGGCTATAACATGTCACATCACTTCTTTTACAATGGTTTCTTCATCATGCAAACTGCTAATGTGCCTAACAGCATGCATGATGATCTGTATGGCCAGCTGTGTGTGAGTGTGTATTGTCTCACTGAACACCACTGAGAAGAGTCTGGCTTTGTTCCCTTTCCTTCTCTGTCCTCTACCTCAGGTGTTTACATGCTGCCAGGTTTGGATTCACTATGATGGTTGGCTGGATTACACAGAGACAGTTTTAATTAATTCCAGATGCATTTATGTAAAGTACAATCAAGAGTTTCCTAGCACTTTGAGAGAATATGCAGGTTTTAGCATATTTATGAAAGATGACTTTTGAACTCACCAATGGCAAGAGAAAAGCTGATAAGCCTGCAGTGTAATGAATAGCAATACAATTTTTATATAGAAAATGCATCTTTAGTAAACAAACTTCTCAGATTCAGTTGTTCTGACAAAAATGAGGAGGGTATTGGCTGTTAACTTTCAAATACATTTATATTACAGGAAATTTTATTTAAAATCAAATATTCCCTTAAGGGATGATTTTCTCACTATCTCAGTTGCTATCACAAAGACTTCACAAAAGAATAATCAGCATTTATTAACTTTGCAAGTCATGGGGAAATAGTTCTTCCCTCAGAGAGAGGAAAGAACAAAAAAGGAAGGAGGGAATTTCTGTGAGGATCATTGTGTAGTTGTAGGAGAGGCTAAGTAAAAAAAAAAAAGAAAAAATAAAATAATTTTTTTTTTTTAAAGCATGAACGTCATTGTATTTATTCATGAATGTTTTGCTTATCTTTGTTTATATGATTGGTGACAAGCCAATAACACATGTGCTTCCATTACAGAGTGATGATCAAGATGGTGCATTTAAAGCACAGAGTTCAGTGTAATCTGTGAATTGTCTATCCTATCCCATGATTTGGGCATCAGTTTCTTGACAACCAGTACCAAAACAAAGTTTCAGATCAAAAAGAGGCAAGATCTTGAAAATAGAGCGTATTTCTGTTCTCAAGGACAAGGCAACATGTGCATTAAACTTTCAAAACAGAGAAGCTACTTGAACGATCCAAACAACTCTTTAGACAGTTACAAAATGAGGCCAAAACACAGAGGAATAAAGAAGTGATTGACAACTTATTTCAATCAATCATTTCAGTATTTTTCCTCATTGCTGGGAACCAAAGATTTCAACTCATTGCTCAGGAATTTCACTTAATCGCAAAGCCACTAAGGATTTCATGGAAAAAGTGAGGAAAAAATTCTATTTTCTTTGTTTACATAAAGTTATTGTAAGAATGTATGCCCTTCAGTGAATAAAATGGTCAAATATTGAATACAATACTTACGTCGGGAACTCAAAAGTGTTTCATTACTCAAGAAATTAAAAGCAGGAATGACTGCATGGCCCTTTCCAGTGACATTTACAATTTCCTCCTCGTTATCTAGGACTTGTAGCTTAATGAACACGTCTGATTTAGAGGTTTGTACCTGCACTGTAGCAATATGTGATGTTGTGACTTTCACTAAATACCTAAAGAAGAAAAAAAATCGCAACAATATAACCAACAATGCCAGATATTTCTTTTCAAGGGAAGTATTTAAGCATTGTGCTGACATGGAGAAAAACACTTAAAAATGAGTTTTTATCTCACTGTTTTCTTGCAATCTGGTGAGCTAAGCATCCTTTACTGCACCTCAGTGCAGTGAATCTACAATTAAAGTAAACATGGGCAGCTACAAAAACTGGTGATATTGCCATTTTTTTCCCCGTTTTATCAGATCTCTATATTATTGCACCTCCTGTAATAAAATTTGTTGGAAAAATATGGTTAGTGATATGATTAGTTTCATTTAACAAGTAATCCAGTAAAAGTTAAAAAAAAAAAAAAGTAAAAAAAAAAAATAGAAAAAGTAAATAATCACATTCTGATTGAACATGCTCTTCTAAAACAATCACATGCTCATATAAAATCAGGCAAAAAATATACCAAATTCCACGCCTCCTCACCACTTGTAAAATCCCAGTTTTAATGCATGTTTAATCTCTGAAAGTAATATGGAATCTCAGTCATTAATATGTAGGTAAGACTGAGCTTAGAGAAATGTGAAATATTATTATGAGAATTTTGAAACTACAGTCTGCTTATTTCACAACCATTATTCATTAAGCAGCAGCAGTATTTCAGGAAAAAAAAAAAAGCAACAAAACATTTATGAAACACAGAACCTGGTTTTGAGTATCTATGGCTAAAAAAAAAATGGAGATGTTAGTAGCTTGTGGTTGCAGTGGTAATGAGAAGACGGTTGGACTAAATGATTTTATAGGTCTTTTCTAACCTTGTGATTCTATGATTCTATGTTTACTTAAACACCTTCCCCTTCTAGGAAAGAGGAAAGAACATACTTTGCTGAAATGGGCATAAAAAGCAGGATTTAATCATCATTATCTCAGTATTTACCTGAACATTACACATTTGTCGTTGGGGATGTAATACTCTGTGATTTCTTTAGTAGAATAGACATTATTTACAGCCTCACGAGAGAGGAATGGGAGAGGACTATGGGAACTGATGAGTCGGAGCCTCCATCTTCCAGCTGTCAAAGACTGGTTACCAGTGTGTGCTTCAGCCATAAATGTATATCCTTTCTGAAGAGAAAACAACATATTTTTACTCAGAAATGACACTTGCTAGTCCTGGAAATGCAGCTTGCAATGCAGAGTACCAATTCAAGGTAAAATTGAATAAGTATTGAAAAGGCGAGTCATAGATGTAAACTGTAAAACTACATCAGAGATAGTAAGGCTGGAGTTAAGAACTGCCTAATGACAAGTGAGAGGAAATAGAAAGTAGTACATGAGAATAAAAAAACATTCAAAGAAGTTGGTGAAAGAATAAGTGAGAGGAGAATAAAAAGAAATGTAAATAAATGACAAAGGAGTACAAATTCTTGTGAGCAACACATAGAAGCCTTCACTGACATTAAAGTTAAAAATTTTAAACTAAATATTTAAATACTTAAAGTGGTAATTATTTTAAACAACATACAATATAAAGGACAAGAATTAAATAAATAAATAGTTAAAAGAGAAGTACTGCAATAAAAACCAAACTAAAATAACATCTAACAGAACAGAAGATTCTGGCCCAGCATCAACAAGCTTGGTGCAATTAATTTCCAAATAATTGAATCAGTATCATCTACTGGTTTTTAATGAAAAGGGAAAAAAAAAAAAAAAAAAAAAAAAGTAGATTATAATGTTGATAAGAGCATTCTATAATCTTCTTGAAATCTTAGATTTATTTGTTTCTCTCCCTGCTGATTTTAAAGGTTCTTATCGTTACATTCTGACTCCTCAGCTGTTATTATTTTCCAGCTTTCTTGAACTATTTAAACAATTAGGACAGGTTTGGTGTTTTTCTGTTACATTTTTTCCCTCCATAATAACCATGCTGAATGGCTCAAATCACTTCAGACTGCTCTGAAGAACAATAACTGTTTTTTCACTTCCGAACTAACTACTTTAATAGGTCACCTGCTGTCTGGGGGTGGGGGGGGGAGGGGAAAATAGTCAGGTAGAAGCAATATTCATACTCAAATGGAATAAAGAGACAGATAACTTGAATGCTTGAATGTCCACCCTACATGACATTTCCCAACTGATAATTCTTGGCATTACAAGGATCTTCCTTAATGTACTTGGACTGGGTACCATCACCCCTTTTCTAATCATCAATAAAGTGGGCTGTGTTTTCTTCTCCTACTGGAACTTCTAAGAGACTATTGATAAACAGTGTTCCACACAAGCCTGTCAAATTCAAAATGACTGGCCCTTCTCCTTCCTTCACAATATTAACCATACAAACAAAAAAAGTGTAAGACCTTCCCCCCGTCAGGTGGGGAAGAGTAGAACCAGGGAAAAAAGAAGAAAAAGTTATTTGAGGGAAAAGAAAAAAGAATACTGACTTCCTATCAACACTAAACTGAAGTGAGTTCCATACAGAAAAAGTATTATTCCATTAATTTGTGACTCTCTCATGTACTGAAAAGTTACTGCCCTATCGAGAAAAATTTGACATTTCAAGTTCTATAGAATAAAATTGTTACAGATTCCCCGGGGAAAAAGCATTCCCTATAGTTCTGAAAAGGAGAATTACTTAGAATGGCTAATCTGTATGCTTATGCATGCATGCCATGCACATGAAATAAATGTGCTTTCAAGTGCTAGTGCAACATGAAAGTTGCAAAGTAATTTTAAAATTATAAATACTTGTAACTCCAAAGGTGACCACAGCTGAAGATGAGAATACTAATATTTTGGCAATTCATGCACAAGAGGTTTAGCAAGTAGTATACTAAAGCAAAATTATATAAACATGAAATAAAAACGTGAAACCTTCTTCATTCATTGATAAATCAAATGAAAATCTCTCTTTGTGCTGGAGGCCTATGCAAATACAATTTGGAGATTTAGAGATCAGATTCAATCTACAGTTAAATTAATAACACTCCAGCATTTAATAATTTCATTGCAAGACATTAAATATCAGTACATTAATCTTATTTAAAGTCTTGTAAGAGTCTAGCACACAGCTAGAGAAGTGCGTGGTAGACAAAAAGTTTGGCATGAGCCAGCAGTGTGTGCTTGTAGTCTGGAAGGCCAACTATATCTCGGGCTGGATCAAAAGAGCAGTGGCCAGTAGAGCAAGGGAAGTGATTGTTCTGTTCTACTCTGTCCTTGTGTAAACCCATCTGGAGTACTGCATTCAAGCCTGGGGGCACCAGCACAAGAAAGATGTGGAGCTGTTGGAGTAGGTCCAGAAATGGGTCACACAGGTGTTTAGAGGGTCCCTGAGTGTTGTTCAGCTGATGCTTGAGAAATGCTTTTCTGTCATTTTTGGCTCTGTTAAAAAAACTTGTGTATAAGATAGTAAAAAAAAGTATATAGAAGCAGTATACAAATAAAGAGACCAGAAGAAATAAAGTAGTAACTTGCATTGCATTTTTTATTTAGACTGTAATATCTGCAGAAAGCGGGCAAAAGACATTATCGCTAGTCTGCAGATTTTATCCCTACTTTAGTATTAATTTCTGAATGATTGAAGGCACTCCTAGAGCAACTCTTAGCAAATAACAGTATCTACTGATAAAATTTACTTTTGCTCTGTTTTAATCTGCTGAGTCTTAGTTTTACAGCAGAACAACTAACTGCTAGATTTATTCAAAAGGAAAAATATCTTGTTTTATATTAATACATACATTTAGGAATTCAGGCGTACTATATTTTCTTGTTTTATTATTGACATTTCATATAAAATACTCTTCAAAGAAAGGTAACAACCAGATTAAAATGACACTACCATATGCAATTGTCACAAAAACAGAATAATTGTCTTGTCAAATCATCAGTCAAGTTTTCGGTGGTGTTGCAAGTCACTGAAACATTAATGGACCATTTGCAAAAAGGAAGGTAAATTGTTTGGCATAAGTGCACAGTTTTATTGAAAAACTCAGTAGCAGAGATTATGTAATAAAACAAGTGGAAAAACGCAGCATACACGTACAATTCTGTTTTAATACTCTTAAATCAAAATCACTCTTTACTAATATTAACCATATTTTATAACATTAAATATAAAATCATAGGCTTAGAGAGTAAGAAATGTGGTTATCTGCAAGAATAATTATGGTGGAGAGGTCTTCAACAAAGAAGAGAAAATAATGATAGCAATTCTTTAGTTTATGACAGAATCACTGGAGCTGTCACATGGTGTATCCATGCATTAATAAGTAGGTGGAGGTAGGGCATACCAAAATGAGCATCTCCAGTATTAAAGCCATAGTACCGCACAAAGGGTGGCAAGATCTTAACTGGAATACCGTGTGCAATCCTTGACATCTCCATTCAAGAAAAGTGGGAAGAAGTCCGAGGGAAAAAAAAAAAACATAAAATTGTTTCCATTCCACAAGACAGAAATAGAACATTCACAGTCTGCTAAGCAGGACAAATGCTGAGATGAGTTCTGAAATAAATCTGAAGTTGTGATCATTCTTTACACAACTCATCATTATCCTGAAAGGCTGTAAGTGGTGTTTATTACTTGGATTTCTTTTCACATCCTGCCACTTGCCACTGCCAGAACCTTCCTTCCTGATGGAATACACACCCCACCTCTGAAGACTCCAAGTTAACTCTGAGAACTTGATGATATCCCTCCAGCAGGAGTAGTCCTTACCTGCCACATTCAGCTGGCATTCACTGCATGCCTTGGATAAAGTAAGCTCATTCTATTGGAGGGGATGGGGAAAAGGTATGATAATACTCGAAGTAAAGCTACAGAAGAAAGACAACAAAACAGTCCTAGACTAACATCAACTCCTTGCTACTGACAGACAAAGCTAAAACTTGAACTTATCTTCACTAAAAGGATCAACCATGGGTAGTTGTGGCTAGCACAGACAATATTAGGGGTAATGTTGAAGAGTTTAGAAGCAGGCTAGAACAAGAAAAGAACTAAAAAATAATAAATAAACTAACTTCTGGATTAGTTCATTCTGACGATCTTCTGAACTATCGAACCAGTTAAGCTACACGAAAACTGTATGGGAATAGAGAAGTAGTCAACACTTGCCACTGATCATACTTTTAAGTCCAGGGAAATGTTGTCATAACAAAGAAACTAGAGAAGGTAACCACATCCAGTACACATTTTGAAACACAAGACTCTAATTAGTGAGACTTCCTGACCTGGAACTGATTTCATTTAGTATTTTATCAGTAATGTGCACAGTGTAACAGTGATCTATGTTTAATTAACTGGTACCACAAAGCTAAGGGTTATAATTTTAAAGAAAAAAATTCAATGTTACTTTAAATAAGGAAAATTGTCTGAAAGAAAAACAGCACTCAAATCAATAGTGGAATACACCACATTTCATCAAGAAAAATAAACAACAGGATTCAGTTATTCAGGAAGGCACTTAAGGCTTCCTGAGCAGTATGAGTCAACAAAGCTCTTGCAAGAAAAATAAAGGGGGGAGAGAGGGGAAAATGAGCATCAGAATCAGTTTAATAAGAAGTACAGCCTGCCCAAAAGACATATAAACTGATCATTCCTTAGTCATCGTTTGTTTCATTTTAAGTTAATCCTTGCTGCAAAGTTTTCTGTGCTCAGTGTTGCATATCATAAACAAAAAAAAGGAGAACAACTGGGAGCAGTCCAGAGGAGAAAGTAATCAAGAATGTAGGAAACCTAACTAGTAAAAAAAAAGACTGAGCAAGCTGTCATATTTATCCTAGAAACTGGAAATCTGGGTAATTAGGAGGTCAGTGATAGTCTATTCGAATTTTTTAATAATTGTGGCCATACTTCTAAGCAGAACATTAATACGTAGCTGAAAATGTCTACGGAGTTCAGCAATCATTTTTATTCCAATTATTATTATACTCCACACATTTACCTTATTTTTGGGGTAAATATGAGGTGCCACTTTCAAAAAGACATGTGGCATTTCCTCCAGTGTGTCATTATCAATTACATGAAGTCTACAGGAAGGAATAGTGGTATACATCTTTGGCACTATGAGCATGTCTTCCGGGACAAAAAATATTTCTCTAAAATAAAACAATGAAAAAACAAATTAAATTCATTTTATTTTCACAAACTGAATAATTTGTGTAACAAAACAGAAGTATATATTAGAATTTGATGAAAACAAACTCATGTAAAATCATGTGTTTTGAAACGTATTAGTGAAAAGCAGTATATCATTACTTCTTTCCAACAAGAATCACATAAAAGGCTATACAAAACTCACCTAAAAACCACAAACCAAATATTTGGTGGCTGATCAGAATATGTTACAGCATAGTCAGCGAAAGAAATCTTACACCACTCATCTTCATAACAAGGGAAATTTTTGAATGAGTTACAGTTTCTTTTAAACATTTCTCTGGAAAATAGTAAAGCAAGATAAGGATTTAAATCTACTCATAATCAGGAGGGGATGTGTACTGATGTATATTATGAAGAACACTGCTTCATATTTGAGAGTAAAATGAAATTATAACATGTTTTAAAAAATAATAAATCAGGTAAGGAAGGTGCTCTATTAGTTCAGGAGCTAGTAGCCTGTAATAACTGATACTTACATACAAATGTGTTGTGTATCTGTCAGTCTATCCACTGATTATTTTTATTATTAAAAAAAAATAACCAAAAACATTAGATAGGATGCCTTCCATTTCTTTTTATTAAGCTGTCATCATAAAGCTATGGTATCATAAGGGGATTTTAAAAAACTTTCTTTCATCTTCAAACTCTTAGGTGTTATCAGTTTCTGTGGAATTAGAGCTAACCTGTCTGGCACCTGACTGATGCTGGGAAGCTTATTTATAATTTGTGGTACCAAAAGTTAATGTTCCTCTGAACATGTCCAAGTTTTACATTGCTAGTGTTATTCACCAAATCTGGCCAAAACTTTGATGTTTTGCCTTCTCAAAAGAGCAGTTGGAATTAACAAACAATCCCCACTTTCATATTTTTAGCAATGATAATAGCCAACCATGGCATTTAATGAAGGTGAATCACAGAGAGGATCTAAACTTTCTCAGAATTAGTTTAAAGCAGAACAGTCTGAGATATTCTTCTGCAAAGCTTTGCAAATATTCCTTCCATCACTGACGAGCAGTGCACATGGACAGAAGCAGCTCCTCAGAAGCCTCAAATCTGTGAATTCCTTGAAAATTACAGTATGGGCAAGCACAATGAGCTTCTCTTTGTGAAAGTGGGATTTGTAATGAGAAACAAATTGAAAATCTTGCTTAAAGAGAGATGTTTTAGGGCTTCTTAAACTAAGAGATTACATTGCAAAATGGTGCTGCTTCTGTCCTGTGGTGCGTCCAGGCTTTAAGTATGGGAAAACTATCCTAACACTGAACTTGTGAAGTTTTTGCTTATAACTTCATAGGTCAAAGCACTAGCTTTTTATATTAAACAAAAGTCATGCAAACATATAATAAAGCTCACCATATCTCTACAGAAAGCATCCTATCCTTTCTGAGCCAGTTTTGTAATTTTAAAACTAATAATACTCTTCCCACATTTATTGTGTGCACCAGCAATTCATGGCAACTCTGTGGAAATGGCTGCAATAAAGTATTATAATTTATTATATCATTACCTTAACAGCACTACAGCACACTGTTCAAAATTTAACTCAATTGAAGTCCACAATTTTTGCAAGATTTCTTTTACAGCAATGTTTTCCTTAGTACCTAGAAATAATAAAATAAGTTAGAAAATATACATAGTACCTAACTTTTGTATTGTTTTAAACGTACACTTATCAAATATTTGTGAAAAACATCACTCAGAAGTTAATTGTCTTGTGAATGCTATGAATGATATCTTATTAGGAATTTTACAGAGGTGCCAGAGAGCTGACAACTACTTTCTCCTTTCACTATCCCCATTATCATCACCTTTATATTTTTCAGTACTTTTCCAGCTTAAAGAATTATGTGACTAATATTTTCCATTTTAAATACCATCACAATAACATCTTGTGTTGACATGTAATGCCACAGAAAATTAACTAGGTATTAATTAAAAAGGACACACCTGGTTTTCTGCTGTTCAGTACTTTCCTCACATAAACCCCCCTCCAAACAGCTTGGAGTTTAAGAGCTGCTGCTTCTTCTTCAGAAGTGGGAATTCTTTTCTGACAGCTACTTAGGGAATTTACTTCACAACTCTCTGAAAGAAGAGGAAGAGAACAAGCAACACTTCATTAGTTTACAAGGCTGGAAGCCTTGTAGCTGCTTGCTATAAAGTGAAAATACAAAGGAGAGCTGAGTTACAGAAGTAATAGTTCCTGGATAAAATTTCCATTTATGGCAAAAATACCACTGTTAAAATTTTCCTCTTATCATTATAAAAATAGATACTATATACTGTGTAATTACAAAGTCAGCATGCAGCTACTATGCTAATGCTGAATACCAAATTGTCATATTTTTGCTTCTCTCTACAGATAGGTGTTGCATTTTATTTTTTAAAATCAAGTCTTGTAATGAAATCATCTTCCAAAAATAAACCAACATAATTTCATGCATTAAAGTCTGAATCTGAATAAAGCTTAAAAGAGCTTCACAAGATTTCAAGTGTTTCTATCTCTGAATCTGATTTTAGTAAGTGATAATTTGAACAACAATATTCAAAACATTGCATTTGATATCTGCTAAAGAGGTACAGAATAAGGGTAAGACAAATGATAATGTGGAATTTTGTTTATCTGACTGTGACTTTCAGTTATCAAGGAGTTTTCGAATGGAATAGAAATTAGAATCATAGAATCCTTAGAGTTGAAAGGGACCTTTGAAGGCCACGTAGTCTAACTCCCCCTGCAATGAACCGGGACACAACAAGTAGATCGGGTTGCTCAGAGCCCAGTCCAGCCTCACTACATCTCTGAGTAACCTGTTCCAATGCCTGACCACCCTCATTGTAAAAGCCTTTTTCCTTACATCTAACCCAGGTTTACCCTCTTTAAGCCTGAAGCCATTTGCCCTTTTTCTATTGCAACAGAGGCTGCTAAAGAGCCTGTCCTCTTCTTTCCTGTAGCTCCCCTAATAAGTAGCTTCTGACAGGTTACTAACGAGAAATTTGATGGAATTCTTGCCCAGAATTAACATCCTTGAAGCTATCAGCACAAGGGTTTACCTGGGGAGATAATGGGGAGTAGCACCACAGGGAGGCAGTGTCAGGAAACCAGCAGGGAAATGCATTGATGCACAATGAGGGAAGTGAGCTAGAGGGAGAGGAAGGATAATGCTCCAAAATGAAGTACTATCAAACAAAAAGGAGGATGAAAGAGTGACACATGGGGACACAGTGGGACAAATTAGATTAAGAAAATATATTACTTTCATCAGAAAGAAGATCACACATTTCAACCTAATATATTCCATTTAATATTGATAGAACTGATTGCTTCCAACCATTATTATTGTCAAAAGTCTCCTTAATACTTAGCAACTCTGAAAGGTTACACAAGTTCAGTCCAAGAAAGAACAGTTTAGAACTCAATATGGCACAGCACAACCACTTTTTAAAAAAAGCATGCAATCATAGAATAAAGTTGGCTAGAGAGGACCATTAATTTAATCACATATTCAAATCAGGATCAAGTAGAGCACATCGCTCAGAGTGTTCAGCATATGCCCAGCTCATTTTTTAATATCTCCAGGGATAGTGACTGGGCAATTTCTTTCAACATTTGACAGGACAGACAGTGAAGAATGCTTACCTGAAATCCAACTCAAATATCCTGTTTTTAACTTGTGTCATCAATGTGCACCACTGAGTGAGATACATATTTGAATTTCAAATACAGTTTACACCAATAAGATTATAGCAGATAGCTTGACTTCTAGACAAGTTTCAAATGAAAAGGTTCATACAGAACCTTTATCTACTCTGTTTCCAGGAAAACACATAACAGCCATGCCATTGAAAAAAGCATGCAGCTTCAGAAACTCCCATCTTTATCTCACATTGTATGAACTTGTCTCCTATGGATCCACTGCTAGCTGTTCCTTGGGGGTGAAGAGGATTTGGACAGATCAACATTACTAGATTGTTTTCAGGATGGCTTCTCAGAAACCTTACCAGACAGGACTGCTAACTGCAGTATGTCATAACAAGACTTGTCATAGACAAGTGGAAACGAATTCAGTACAGAGGGCAAAATAGCTATGCTACTAAAAAAAAGAAATGGAGATAGCATTTGAATTTCAGACTTGATTTGACCCACCCTCATACACAGACAAGAAGAAAGATGTCATTCATCTGCTATGGTACCTTTCAGTAATTATTACTGATTTTCAAAGTCTGGTAAGATGCATGACTAACCTAACAGTTCAACAGTGCTAATGTAGGCCAGTCCTTCTAGGCATAAAGCAAATCTACAAACCTTATAGATTTTAGATTTGTAAGTTAACAGAACATAAATATAGTTTTCGGACCAAACAGAGCATAAATATAAAATATAAAAACATTTATAGATACACTTTTTATACTTTTATTCTGAGATATGTCTCACTTAATAATTTCAGACATTCTGCTAACGGTAGAAAACTTGAGTACCCAATAAGAAATGAACTTTGGTTATTTGATCAGGATCAGTGAAGATCTAGTTCCCTCCAAAGTATGTTTGAAGTTTTTACCGATGCCACTACAGTACCTGAAGACACACTGTCATCCTCAAGTAGATCAGTGCATTTAAAATCTAAAGTGAAGGACCTGAAGGCAAATTTATACTTATGAGGCATCTTCTTGTCCAATACATATTTGATCAAAGACCATAATGCACTATTGAAAACCTTAAATAAAAAAAACGAAAACATTTGTCAGATAATTATTCATTTATAAAAGCCAACTTATACTGGCTCTCATTAACATTTCAAGAACTTTTTAGTTGTTTTCACTTTCATGTGATGCTTAACTTTCTCTCACACATAACTGACAGTCCTTACTGTGGAACTCCAATACTTCAAGCAAGCAAGCAAGAGAAAACTATTTTCATGCCCAGCTTTTAAATACAGGACAGATTCCAGAGCACAAGTTTTCATTACCTAAAAATCTTTTAGTTTATGTGAAGCTGATTTTCTCAGACCAGAGCATAGAAGAACATAATCATTACCATTATGACATGGGCATGACTACTGAGTCAGTAGATGAACCCCGTTATAAAAAGTAGGAATATAATGATGGGTAAACAGGGAAAATTTGGTTTCCTACTTTCATGACTGTATTGATGTCTGTTTTTATTCTTGACACTGATGCTCTTTAGGAAGCAGAAATCCTAAAAGAGAAAGTCTCTTTCTGCATCTTTAATTAGATTAGAAATTTCAGACTATGTTTTTCAGAGCCAGTTTCACAGTCTGAATTGAAAAACAGCTAGGACTTAATGTAAAAAAATTTATCAGTCTGTTTTTCATTCTCCTTATTTTCAGATTTTTAATTAGTTCTTGAGTTATATATATTAATATTAATAAAAACTTATTTTATTTTGAAAACAATTAAGACTGATGAAGGAAGAATCCACTTTAGCACATGCCTATATTCAGAATCCACATTGTCTACATTAGACAGATCATTTCCATATTTTCCTTCTTGAATCATTGTTGGCTAATTCAAAGTGTGCCTTTAAAAAAAATCCTTTGCTACAATACACTAACCTTCTTGTGAGAGCAGATGAGATACATATATCTACATCTGCTGAATTTTCCTACAAGTCCCTAAGTTACTGATGGATTGTGACCCAAGGAGCGGCCGGTGAAACGGACCAGAAGAGAGATTCAGATTTAAAGCACAGTGCACATATTAAGACGTGTTCATAATAAGAGAAGATAATTACGGAACGCCACTGCAAGTTCCATATGCATTGATTCTTAATAGCAAGTGCCACATTTGAAACATTCAGGTGGTCCTTTGTAAAAACATAGCCACTGGTTTTTAATGACAACATTAAGCTGTTATGTCATCTCTGCAGCCTCTAGATACGTGTTTACTGAACAAAGTTTCACCTTAAAATGTTCTTCAGCTATTTCAGTACCATGGATGCCAGGAGGACAGTGAGTTAGTTCCAAATCCATCAGAGCTTCAGATAGTTTGGGCTTACTGCTGAAATTATTAATCACATTTCCAATAGCTTTCAGGATAGCAATAGCCTGCCCAATAAATCGGTAGCTCTCCTGGGGAAAGAGGAGAAAAATCAGCTGTTGCTATCTAGATTGTTTTTCAGATTTTGTTTCCTTTTAAGATCCCGTTTCCTTTCTGAGCAGTGACAGGACATTGGCATTTTTTCCTGATGCTGAAATACTAAAAATTCCTTAAATCCTTATAAACTATAAAATCAATAACGTATTCAAAATTCCAAATTTTCAAAATTCATAATGTGCAAAATGTCACCAACTTTAGCTATTGAAATGAATATATGACAATGTTCTAACAAATAGTATAAAATATATATGTTACGGATTTATTTTTTTTCTGTATTATTGGTCCTAGAACATTTAATCAAAAATAAGAGTAACGCAGAAACTTTCTGCTACAATAATAAGATGACTGCTGTTAGTTGAAGTGTACAACATTGTTATAGAATGGTATAGGTGAATATTTGTATTCATCTGAAAACAATGCCCAAATACATGCTGCCTAAGGCATCTTTAATCTCCCCCAGCTTTTCTGTGCAAAAAATTTAGATACTTTCCTGCAAACGACACACTTTAGACAAAGAGATAGTCCAGCAACAAACAATTTTTAATGTCCCAACGTCTCATAATTAATATCATAATTAATAATTAATTCCTTGCTAGAATAAATATATTTATATGTATATACACATAATGCTGCTTTAATACCTAATCATCAGGTTCCTGAATCTGAACTGCTACATGAATTTGCCATTATGCTCACCTTCCAATTTATTTACTTAACTTTTGCAGAACTAAGTTTGAGAAGCTGTATTCCCTCCCCATATGCTCATGCCAAATATTTGGGCATACTGCTTGCCAAAGAAATCTTGAAAACATTAATGGCAGTGATACTCATCTATGCTGAAGGCAACAAAGACCAAAAGTTGTAGGAGTTGTAGGAGGATGCTCCCCACAGCATCTTGCCCCAGCTTTGAGAAATTGTTTGAATCAATTTTTCATTTTAGGGATAAAAGCTACTCTGTGACCTAGTTAGTAATATGTGATCTCATGGGACAAAACAAAATTTATTGATGTGACAACCTATTTTACCAGACATGTGTGTTTAAACATAGATCATGTGCACTTTTTTACATGCCTCAAAGAGAGAGCTTATACAATAACTTGGAGGTATGTATCTCAGCAAGAGCATTTTCTGTATTCCACTTTAACCAGTTCTTCAGTGTGTACTTCCTAATGCTTACTTGCACATCCATACAAGTCAGCTATTGCAAAATCCATTTAAATGTTTCTAGTGTCCACTAAAAACATTTTCAATCTACTCACACATTTCATATTAAAATTAATATTATATTCTCAAACATACTAAAAGATCAATAGTATTCCACTTCAAAACCAAATAACAGTCAGAAATAACTTTAACACAATACTTGACTAGATCTGGACATGCACACCTTTTCGAGATTTCGCATTACAGCATCCTCTTCTCCAAAGACACAGGGCACCATGCTACAAAGATGAATATGGTGCCCTACAGCAGAACTTACTGTAAAGAGAAGTACGTGTCGTCTACATTAAAAGAAAAAAAAAAAGAAAGAAAAAGAAAATTTAAATTAAAAATAACTTTTTTCATTGTTGGTAAGTCACAGTTATTGTTAAGCTTTTCTTTTCATACCAATGTTTGTTACAAAAGATACCCTCTCGCAGATTCTCTCACTCTCCAAATCTTCCTAACTCCTTGCTTTGCTAAAACTTCCAGATACAGGCAAATACAAATAGGCAAAATCAGAAAAATCATTATTTTATTTGCTTATATTTAGATTTTACTTTTTCTGCAGCAGAATAAGTAATTCCACTATTTCGGATGGATATAACCTCAAAGCTTTTAGGTCAGTTTGCTACACTTAAAAACACATTTGCTCTAGGAAACTTCTAAAGGAAGTTAAGTGCTCTGGTCATATAAATTACATCATAATTTCTGTGTTTACAAAAACAACTACCAGAAAAATTTCACACACGCACTTCATCTCATCACAATCTTCTATCATTGTCAGAATAGCATTTAGACAAGTACATACTAGCTACAACTTCATATTAAACAGTCAGCAAGAGTTAGAAATTGCTCATCCCATCCTGAACTTCTCCTTGTTTTAACTACATTGTCTTGGGAAGAGAAATATAAGACACTTCTCAGCAACTGACAAAGCAGAAAGAAGAAAGTACTTCCAGGCTGAACAAGCCATATCTCATTTGAAATAAAATGGGAGAGTGGTCAATGAGCCCATCTGTTTCCTACACTTGCTGTAAATTAAAGCTTAATGAAAGCCTGCTGACCTTGGTAAGAGTAAAGAAAATCAAAGGTAGGAAGCCAGTAGTTTTGCAGGTGCAAAAAAATGCACATTTTAATGTTTCTGTAGAGAACACAAACATGCAAATACAGAAACTATGCCAAGGAGGTGTGTGTACTGATAGAACCAATCTACAATCAGAATCACATCTTTTCTATATTTAGTTTGAATTTATTCAATTAGAGGTCTCTAGGAGAGAGTTTATTTTACTACCAACACACTAGTATTATGGTGTGTTCTTTCTACACCCATTCATTTGAAGCCCAACACGATTATGTTTTATTTTCAAGACATTTAAAATACTGGATGGACATTCTCTGCGTGAATTTTCTAAAGTACATTTTCTTGAACTGTGAACAAGTAGTGCAATATTAATTCATATCTTAGAAAAAATAAACAAGTTGAAAATTCAGTTAATTGCTTACTAAATAAATTTTTGAGACATCTTTTTGAGATGGTGTATGTCTCTATTTTCCAGCAAAGCAAAAACCCCCAATGAATTCATCAGCAAATATATTCTTAGTGCATGTTAAAACGATGTCATTTTTCATTTAAACCATTTCCAGAAACTAGTAAATATTAAAGGTTCTTGCCTTTTGTTTATTTCTTTTAAAAATCTGGAAATTCTTTACACTGAATGCATGGAGTTATATACATAGAGAAATAAATTTTATTGTGTGCTAATTATGAAATTTTGTAAAAATTTCACTTATAATGGAAGATAAGCTATACAAGGCCTCTTGCAACCCCTCAGAATTTCTCATCTCATGATTCACAAATCCTATTTCAAGAAAAGCTATGAAGCTTCCTACAGTGTCATTATTCTTTCACAGTTCCACTAAAAATCCTAATATTTTTTTATTTTTCTTTGTCCTTTGACAAATGTCTCAAAGTCATTCTCATTAGAAATAATTTTAAGTAGATTTTGTACTCTGTGATGTTTTCTGTATTTTTAAAATTTTTTTTTCTTGCTAATTGCTCTTAAAGAGCAAGAAAAAAAATTATAAATGTTTTGGTAATTATCTTAAATTCATAGCAATTTTGCAGTTTTACCAAACATTAGCTATCAAAGAGTTTGATTTAAACAAAAACTTCAGTTTTAGAAAACAAAATCTTAGATAGTGTGCAAGGTAAAGGATCACCTGAATCCCTAGGTAAAAAAGAGCCTTCAGGAGCAAAGCCTCATACGTACCCAACAGGGAGCTTTAACACAGTAGTTTTGGTTGCGTATGTATGCATCTTTAGCACAAGTTCCCCCGGATTCACACATTTCCAAGAGAAATGTTCAACCTTCAGCAGTGCCTTTGAAATACTAGATCCTTCTCGTTTAGCAGCTATAATAAGAAAAAAGGGGAAAAAAAAAAAGAAAAGGGTGGAGTGGGGTGTAGACTATAATGGTAAAGTTATCATAAATACAGAACTCGTATTTATACTCTCTGAAATCTTCACATAGGCTTTGGTAATTCAGAGAAAAGAGACAGACAAGAAAAACTCATAGGTGACAGAGAAGATGTCACTATTTTTTAGAAAACTCTGGTTGAAGCAAGGTACTGGAAAAACGTGTAAATTAGACATCTTCCAAGACACTTAAGTTCTAACACTCCTTAAAAACGCATTCTGTCCACATGTAAAGGAAGTAAACATCCATACAAAGCTTATGTTCATATTACAGATACTTTAAGCATACTTTTGATTATATTTTGATTAGTTTTTGCTAGGAGGGTTACTTTTTTTTGGGGGGGGGGGTTCTATTTGGTTCTAGCTGCTTTACTCCTGAAGTAATACCTGACATTTGAATGCCTTTCTAACTTAATCTGATTGTCGTAACAACCAATAGCTTTATTGTGCGCTAACGTTTGTATTCCATTGATATAATCCAATGTATATTCAAACCATCTAAGTTTCTGGATCTTGAAATAATCTCTCTTTAAATATAATTAAGAGCTTACAGTACATTGGTTTAAAAAACAGTTCAAAAATCAACTCTAGTCATATTGTAGACTTTAGTGCATTTTGATCAGTTCAGACGTAAAGATTTCAGGAACAGAAATTATGCAGATAAAAAAGATAAATAACACAAGGATATCCATAACAAAAAGATATTGATGAAAAACATGCAGCAAACCATAACAGTAAGGAGATCCTTTCAAGAATATATTCATCTTCCATATGAACTAACAATAACGTGTTGCTTGGATTTCAAATACATTTCTAAGAATCTGTTTGCCTACTTAACGATAAGCTGCCAAACACAACAGCACAGACATTAAAGTACACACTTGCAGTCTGGAAGGCCAACTACATCCTGAGTTGCATTAAAAGAACTATGGCCAGGAGGATGTGGGAGGTGATTGTCCTCCTCTGCTATGCCCTTATGAGGCCCCATCTGGAGTACTTTGCGCCTAGACCCCCAGCACACAAAAAGATGTAGAGCTGTTGAAGTGGTTTCAGAAAAGGACCATAAAGGTGACTAAAGGGCTGGAGCATCTCTCCTACGATGAAAGGTTGAGAAAGCTGAGCTTATGTGGGTTGAGGAGGAGAAGACTCTCGAGAGACCTCATTGCTGCCTTATAGCACTTAAAGGGAGCTTACCACAAGGAGAGGGACCAACTCTTTACGTAATAGTGATAGCACAGGGGGGAGTGGTTTCAAATGTAAAAAGGGAGGTTTAGGTTAGATGCCAGGAAAATGTTATTTAATCAGTGGGTGGTAAGGCACTAGAACAGATTTCCCAGAGAGGTTGTAGATGCTCCATTCCTGGAACTGCTCAGGGTCAGGTTGGATGGGGCCCTGAGCAGCCTGATCTGGTGGGTGGCAGCAATGCCCACAACAGGGGGCTGGAATTTTTAAGGTCCTTTCCAACCAAAGCCACTCTATGATTCTATGAACATTCACTTTTCTGCATTGGCCTTACCTGCAGTGTCATCCCAGCATACGAGTGCAGAAAAACTAACCAGAATTTCAACAGGTGTCAGACTGTCCACAAGTAAATAATAGGAGACTTGATCATCAGTTGACTGTATAGAGGAAGAATAAGTTCATTTTTATTTTTTATTGAATGTTATCTGCTCACGCACTTTTCTATTCTCAACTTTAATACGGAATTCCTATGCAAATATAATAAATTATAAGATAACTCTGCTTATTCCTAGAAATTCTTCAAAGTCTGATGGTGAATGAGCTCCTTTGCTACTGATCTGTCTTAATTTGTGTTACATTTTCTCAGTCATATCAATATATTTTTGATGCTTCATCCTAGAATGCTATATATTGCTACTTCTTTCATAGGATAGTATAAAAGTGTTCTTTTGTAACTTTGAAACAGAATTTTCCTGTTAGTTTATACAACTCAAACATATCAACTTAAAAAAAGAAAATGGTGTTACAGTAAAAGGTGATTAGGTACGTTTTAGCACAACAGCACACAGTGTCACGTAGACTTCAGGTTAATTATAGTTTGTGAAAATACATCATGAAATGTTTCAAAAAAATTCTTATTATGTGATCATAAATATAGAGAGGTATAAAATTGAAGGTATACTATAGTTATGAAGCATAAACTATGTAGTTAACCTTCTCAGTATAGAGTTTTACATTAAATTCATGCCTAGAGTTTGCACTTCAGAACTCTATAATTACACTTCAGTAAGAGTATGAAACTGGAGCTGGAACAGGATATTCAAGCATGTTGAATAACCCTCTGATAATAGAAACTAATGGCAGGTTTAAAGAAATACTGTAATTTTATGCAACTAAGGATATTTCTAATCCCCACAATAGAATCTCATGCATATCACCATAGGACTTAGCATGTACAGAGAAAGTATAAGGCTAAGCTAAACAGACTTCTGATTTGGGTATTAGATGACAGGTGAAGATGAAGGAAGAGAATTGAAGAAGGGATTCTGAAGCTGAATCATCACTGAATTTAATTGCTGTTTTCACTGAAGATTTAAAAAAAAAAGATGGGGATGCAATTCAATGTAGTATATACTCTCACTACTAATGTTGATGAGTTGCATACTCCATATTTTTGAATTTATTCTGTAATGGCAATTTCTAACATATTTTGTTCTTGATTTGAACACAGAGAAACACTTCCAGGTATTTGCTAGGAAAATAATCTGTAATAATCCTAACACATTATTACGTTTTCAGTAATAGTAGTTCTACACAATGTACCAATTATGCTTAGGATATATGTATTATCTAATTACCCTAAGTTTTTACAAAGACAAAAAAAAAGTACACAAAAAATTCAATAGTTATATACCTTAAAATCTGTCTTCTGATAGTTATAAGCATATGTATGTGGGTTATGAAAAACATATAGGTTCCTAGGAAGACAAAATATATATATTATGTATTTCAGATAAATATCTGTTCCATTACATAAGTTTTTAATTAGTACATGCATTATAATCTTCCATAAGTCACTCAAAGCTATTCCTCACAAATGGTTCAGAATTATTAGTTTCATTAAAGGTCAATACAATTCACTTACAACGAAATCAGCTGATAATAACTTATACTTTTGCTGCATTTCTACAGTGCTGTATTGGAGGGCAGGCCATTGGTTTTTCTTATTAACCTATAAACTATAACTCGTAACAAGTTAGTATTTTTTAAGAATTTTCATGCTTAAAAGCTACTACAATAAGTTAATAATGAAGTGTCACTGTAAGGAAGAACTCTTTTGTAAAGTTTATTAATGCCTATTCTTAATTTTCCAGTGCTTTCTTACTTACAGAAACTTTTTTTAAAATCTACAAATCATATCTGAAATACATTAATATTAAATAAACTACATGATTTTTGAAATAATAGATTTTTTTTTTTTTAACTTGGTGGGAAAATATTAAGTTTCTTTTTTGGAGCAAATGCAGAAGATTTAACAACCTTTATTGCTTTGTAATAGTGATGTTCAGACACAGAGTTTGATCAATTAGTGGCTAATGCATCTGACATAGGAGCACCTTAACTGCTATGTGCTTCAAGACCTGCCATCTTCCATCCACGTCACAGTGTGGCATATGCTTTGTGAAGCAGATGGTTATGCTCTCCAGTACTCTAGAGGGCACATGCAAGGCACCCTAGTGCTGCATCTACAGATTCACTGTCAATAGGAACAGGGTCTGAAGAGAAGCCTTGGAACTAACCTGAAAGGCAGGAAAACTATACAGAAAAGGTCTGTGAGATGATGCAGGTTTAATACAGTCACTTTTCATATTTTATCACTGTTACACTGTATATTGTATGGAATACAATACAAAATTTCTGTTCCTTACTGGAAACAAACACAGAAGTCCTCAACGCTAATCCAGGTTTCCTTGGAAACAGAAGTTTTTTCTGACTTGATTTCTTCCTTTAATTCATCCACTGCGTTGCTGTTCATAACAGCATCAGCTGTTTCTGACATTTGTTTTGCATTAGAACTAAAATTCTCATGCAATTCCTCTGCAGACATAGGAAGACACACAGATTCAATACACGGGCAACAAATACATCAAAGTAAAATCATTCTTATATAAAAAATTATCCTAAAATCACCAGGGTTTTTCCATACATCTCAGAGTTTACAAATAATAACTATAACATTAACCTAAAAAGATCAAAAGATGACTAAAGCAATTCTGTATAGCGTTTTGTGGCTTCCATCTGAAACTGCTTAAGTATTCTGTCTCATTATACCATTACAAATGAAACTGTGCACTGGAATCTTTAATATGAGCATTAAAACATTGAATCCACTGCTTCTGTTCAGTGAAAAGCTAGTGTGGCATTGTAATTTTTATAACCCACAGAAAACATAAAGGCCTATCCTTGCTGCTGGAACTCAGAATCCCTGTGATGCTACTCACATTAGTCAGTCGAACTACTTGTTAATAGAATTTAATTTCAATAATGTTAATTAATTTTCCTGAGGGAAAAATCAGAAATCTCACTATTGTCACAATCATTCCAAAATACCTACACATAATATCGTGTATCTATGTTTTGTAATAAATCAATAACATTTTAAGTTGCAATGTAATTTCACAATCTCTGCCTTTACTCTATGAGATTCACATGAATCATTATAGATGTTACTCAGTCTTCTCCATAAAGTTTTAAGCATAGCCCAGAGCAGCTGAGAATAGTAGAATATAACAGTTGAAACATTAGCAGCTGTTAACTCAGAATGCTAAGAAAAAAGCTGAGTTAATACCCAAACACACTCATATGACAAATAAGAAAGCTAATTAGAAAAATGTGTAATTTATTTTTGAGTATGTGTTTTAATATTTCATGTTCATAGAAATGCAGTGATCTTCTGGATAATAATGAGCTTATAAGATGGAAGTGATTGTAATTATTTTGCAACTATTTGTCAAGAATTAAAAGGAATATAATGGAGGGAAACGTGCTATAGTCCCTTTTTTTTCCCTTACGGGAAAAGTGCCTGAAAGCTGTAAAATGTAGGCTTCTCCTGAGATTTGTGTAATGTGGGTTTTGGGCCTCCAGTGAAATAACCAGTATTTCTCTTAGAAACCTGCCTGTTGTAGAGACTATGGAAAGGGGATCACCGGAGTATAACAATATCCCATAGTTCAGGAGCTATGTTAAACAGTGTTGCTCCTCTGCTCATTCTGAACACAGGGACTAGAGTGCTATCAACAGACATTGTTCAAGATCAGCTGAGTCAATAGATTTCTAAGCTTTCAAATAGAAGATATGCTTCACCTTATTTAAAAGTCAACAGATAAACCTTTCTGCTCTGTTTAATTTATATAGACTGGGACCAGAGGGAACATAACCTTCCAAGGGCAGCTAAAGGAAAGCAAAACCAAAATGGCTGAACTTTCCCCACTTTTCTTTGAAGAAACAGTGAGAATCTTGTGAGAACGTCATAAAAAAAAATGCATTTTTTTTCCATTCTTTTTACTATGTATACCAAAGATAATGCTGTTCAAAGCATTATTTCCTGGAATCATACAGAAACTCAATTCCAAAAACTCTTCATATGACTTGTATGCAAGAAGGGGTACTTCCAAGTATGAAAAACTGCAAACACTAGGTGATATATTGAAGATACAATTTCTGGATTAAAACTGTAACTACATTTCAGCAAATCTAAAGAGCTGCTCTGTACAAATCAGTATTTTAAGGCTGACATACGGAAGATAATTTCAGCAACTAATTGCCTGTAATTATAATACAATTTATTCCTTGAAAAAAATGTAAATACTAAATACAGAGGGATATAAAATGGGGTAAGTGGATGATTAATTGAAAGGCAAAATAACTTGCTCCAGGCAAAACATCAGACCAATTTAGGATTTTTTGAGGAGGTAGGATTTTTTGATAAAAACACTAATTTTTAGATAATGAAATGCAATAGGTATAACTTAGCCAGATTTCAGGAAAGTTGCTGATTTGATATCATGCTGATATTTATTAGCAAAACTGAATATGATGAGATTTGGTATAAAAAGTGTAAGCAGTGTAATAAAGAGAGCAGTAATACTTATGCAAATGTAAATGCTTGCATTAGGAACACAGAAGAATTTTATTAAGAACTGGAGGCATATACATTGGAATTGATGAGTAAACTCAAGTTCTCTGCTCATTAATAAATTACAAACTGACATCAAACCATCCTAATCTCACAAGCTCAAAAAAGCATATTGGTTCTCAAAAAAATATCAGCATATACAGAGAAGTGCCACTGCATTAGTAGCAATTCATCAGGGCTCCTGTACTAATCAGGGCTAACCAGGAATGTGGCAAAGGAATATAAACTGCAACATCAAAGACTGGTCAAAAAACAGCACCATCTAATTTCGCACTTAACAGGCACATTCCTACTACTTTCCTACAATGTATCTATTGACTGGGCATCCCTCGATGACTTGGATGACCTTTGGAGTGAAAGAAAAGTTTGCTCAGATTATTAACATTATGTTGCATCAGTAAGTTGATAAAACTCCTCCTCTATGATCCATATGATCACTGATTCTGATGCAACAAAAGGATATGGAGACATTTGCAACGATACTAATATTATAAAAGTGGATCATTTTATTATTCTAGAACCAATCTGTACACTAATTTGTAATCTTTTCTACAAGGGGCATTTCCTTACTAGGCTTTCAAGAAAACAGAACATATAGCTGTCTGGCTACCAAGATCCACCAATTTTAGAATCAATAATGACAACAAATAGTTCAGCATTCCAGCATATGTATGGCAGGCTTTAAAGAGCCATCTATTGCCAACTATTATATTTCCATTGGGTTTTGGGCCAGAGCTAAAACAGGTACTGAGCTGTGAGTTAATAACTGAAGGATTACATTTCCAGCTCATTAACTTATAGAATTTTGATACAGTGAGATTTCCCTGTTTTGTTTCTATTTACTGAAAATATAAAAATCCTACAAAGAAATAACAAGAAAAGACATGCTAGCACTACAGTGGTTGAAATGATTAAATGCTCTTACAAGTACAATGTTAAAATAATGTTCTTTGCCTGTACTGAGCATATGTTTCTTGTTTATTTTCCATCTGCACACTCTTCAAACCCTAACAGACTAAAAACAAAAATGCAACATTCATTAAAATTGAAGTTGTCCTTTTCTCTTTTACCTCAGAGAAAACAAAAACAGTTCACATTGTTCAGAAACAGAACTCTGTGTACAAAATCCAGTATATTTTATTGGAGAATAACATTCCAATGTGAAAAGTGTCATTTGTTCAAAATATTCCTGGGAGTTAGGGAATTTTAAATACCACTATGAGGACTCCAATCTGCAGTTACACCCATTCTTTGAAGTGTTTACGACCAAAACCCATAAACGCATAAGACTGACTATATTCTTAAAATGAAGATTAACAGTGAAATCAAATAATATGAGAATGGCACAAATCTGAATATGAATTTCAAAAATATTTACCTCCAGTGCGTCTCTCTGTTTTATGCTGCTCCTATATGAGGGGGAAAAAAAAGTGATTCTAATTTTGCATCATATTTTTTAAGAAAATATTTCCATTCTGCATTAGTCCTTTCTGAGCTATAAGAAATGAGCTAGCACATTATCTCTAAAGGAAAAGGAAAATGAAAGCTAAGGGTATCCTTTCCTAGAAACATACGTATGGGATAAAAATGATCAACATGCCTACTCCTCTACTATTAAGAACTTTATCTGACACTACTGTTCTTCAACAAGTTCTATTCCAAGACGTAAATAACTGCATTCTAGATGTGGTTCTATTCTACTTTGTTTTCATTCTTGGAGAGTTTATAAAGGTCTCTTCTGACAAGAATCTCTTGTTGTGAATCTACAACTGCCAATTGAAACATCATACTTGATTGCTACAGTATTTTTGGCTTTGCATCAGCAGCATAAATAAAAAAATATCTGCAATTTTTGATAGCTTGTTTGCAAACAACTTTAATCTGGCCATTACCTTTTCAAAGCTAGAGGAGCTGAATTAACATGACTGAAGATGAAATCCAGTTAGCCTGCCTTGAAAGTCCACTTTGCACTAAGCTATCAGTGGGTTAATTGGACTAACTTTACCTTTGCAAAGCAAAATAGTGAAGCCTAGAATGTCTGTTACAGATTTTGCAATCATCTTTTCACTCCAGCTCTCCACTTAACAAACACTGTCACCATCCCTCCACCCAAAATCCTCATCTATATTCATTTCTATCTATGGCAGAAGTGCTAATGCAGAAGTTGACAGTACTGAGCATCTACATAAACGTGGTAATTTCCTACTTAAAAATGGAAACAAAGTTATTGATGCTCAGTATAATACAACATGAAATTCTACAAACTGGCAATAAGCTAGTTACTTGAGGATACCAAGGTTGCTCTTTCAGCATTTGCTATTTCTAGTCAGATATGTAATTATTTATATGCATATTGTTATTTTCAGCTTCAAAACTAGAGAAAGAAAACTCTCCAATAATAAATCTCCTAGACATACCCATAGTTTTTTTTAATTAAAACATTCAAGATGGGAAACAAAGAAGATTATTCTGCAAGTTAAAAACTTCGTTTTCTTTTTTCATCAGTTCAAATGCAGTTCTACCTACATACCACAGCTATTAATGGCCTCAACATTTTTCAGATGGTATTTAAACTGAGGCAAAGGCAAGGTTCAAGAACAAGTTAACTAGCTGCTCATAACTTCTTACATTTCACCTCTGAATCAGACTGCCCTCAGACTAAATCATATTCAAGTCTTCTTACCACTCTTTTTTTTGATCACTATCTCTCTTTCATGTATTTTCTTACCCTTGAATTTCCTTGTTTGCATGCCCTACTCTGACAGAGCAGCTTTCTACAATCAGAATGGCTCTTAACCAGAGGAGAAAAGCAAGGTGATATTCTAAACTGTTTCTATGCCTCTAGCAAACAGATGCCTATTACTTTACAATTAACTAAATCTGTATTTGTTCAGCTATAGAGACAGAAGTAACCCAACCAATAATTATAATACTACTTACAGAACCTTTTTGTCCTGCTGCTTTTGTAACGGTTTTTGTAATTTGCCATAATTAAAAACACTTCTTTTAAAAGAACATGAAATATGATTACATATATTGTTTGTAAATGAGCACAGAATGCAGAGTAGCCAAAAACATCTTACTGCAAAAACTTTCCTTCACTACAGCACTGCCTTATTTTTAACTAATAAATACCCAATAAATAATATCTAAACACATGCACACTTTCTACACATACAATGGGCACAGAACAGTGCAAGAAGAAATGAGTTTCAGATCTGAAATATAAAAATTACATTATAATATATTCTGAAGAGGAAACGTGTAAATAAGTACTCCAAAATTATATAGCAAAATATTTTCCTTTTACTTCAAATTTTACCAGAATTAATAATTGAGTTTTCTTTGTCTATGAAGATACCTAATACTGTCTTCAGCAGTATGCCTGTGGTCTTCAAACACATTATGCAACTCTATACATCAAGTTACTGTACCTCAAACAAATTTCAGAAATATTACTGCATGCATATTTATTAGTTTGTCCAAGAAAGAGACTGCAGAAGTATTAAAATGTTTTCTACAAGATTGTAAAGGTCAGCATTTTGAGGCTGTTTTCCCTTCATGTAGCCCTTTGGATGGACATATTTTATAGAGTCTTTTAAAGAATTTTCTATACTGTAATCATATTGAACGTAAAAAGCTCTACTTAGGACAGAAATAAAAGCAGACAGGAATAACTGCAGTAAACACAAGTTGGGAGCACATCTTTTCCAAAATATAATTGTTTTTCTGGTTAGATGCAGATTTTTAATTGTATTGAAAGGCATTTTTATACATACTAGGCAGCTTTTCCCCTTCAGTTTTCTAAAAGTCAAAGGAAGAAATGCTATCAGATGCTCTTATGACCACTGTTTGCCACAGTAAATATGAAATTGATGAGATAATGGCACTGACAATCTGGATTTGTTTGTAGATGTTGAGTAAATGAAACTACATTCATCAAGCTTTGTTTGTTTGAATATTTAAATCTCTGTTTATCTTGCTGCAAATCAGTTTTCTGTATAAAGTATTATACATGAAATAGTGTGTTATCCAGAAAGTCTTTGCTTGAAAGCATCCTTTGTTCAAAACATAAGGTTTAAATACTACATCGAGCCTTCTGTTGGAGGCTTATTTAAAAGCAGACTTTGGTAGTATATGTGAAGAACAAGGTACAAAGCAACTTAAAACAAAAATGACAACAACAAAAAATAGCCGTTACATCTGCCGAAAGTAATTCTAGTAACATCCCACTGATATTAGGTAAGATTCATATTGCCTGTCTTGGAAAACTACAGTGGAGACGAGTAACTACTAATCCTTAGCGACTGGCATTTTCCTCTGTGGAGGCACTTGGCAAGCAGTGCTGAGCGTGCTGCCTCTACCTAGTGAACTTTTGGAGGAATGTGGCTTTCAATGAAGAATCACGTAAGGATGTGATTTAAGGCATGTGTTCACAAAGTTTACATTTTTCAAATGTAAAACAAAGTTTTCATTTTTCACATACCATCCTTCACTGTAGCTGAAATAGCATAATTGAAATACAAGAGTCCGTGAATCAAACACTTATAAAGACATGATTCTCACTAAGACTGTCCCATCAAATGTATTTTAAAGTGCAAAATAAAAATATTCTATTGTATCAGCATGTTACTTTTAGAATCTAAAGAATAAGTAATAAAAAATGACTTTTAAATGAAAAGTATTAGCAAAAGATCTCCCATGCATCAATAAAACTAGTAACTGGAACAGAGGGAATTTACTGAAATATGGCAGGGTGGGTGAGGAACCTTACAAAGGTGTCTTTTAAAACCTATATTTAAGAATCAAGTATTACCTATTTCTTCTTTCGCTGTCTTTAGAAACATAAAACTAGGCCAAATAAAAATAAATAAGTAAATAAGAAAAAAAGAAAATTAAATGATTACCTGAGAATAATCTTCCACATTTGAGTGTCTCCCACTCTGATTCATTTCCATATTACTGTCATCTACATTTTCATTGCTTTCAGTGACAGAAGGGAGGTGGGTCATCAAATGAAATCCTTTTTGGATGGTAGACTGTGTGAAGGAACTAAATAATAAAAGAAAGCTCAGATGCTTTAACCCATATATTTGCTTTCAAATCGCAGATTTCATAACTATTTTTTTTTTTTTTTTAAACAGAATTCTATCAGAATAACTTGTATCTCCTTTATTTCAATAGCTTAATAAGGCAGTACAAAATGTGTGTATATATATATATATATATACACATATATATATGTATATATATATATACACATATATATACATATATATATGTGTATATATATATATATATATATATATATATTCCTTATAGTTACTGGCTTAGTACCACACACATACATGTGTTTGTAAGATGTGAACTGTTGCCTTCTTCAATAATCTTCAACAAAACAAAATCCATGTCAGCTGATGAAAACCAGATGATAATACCAGAAATGAAAGCCCATAGAAAGAAAAAGAAATACAAAGATAGGGCAAAAAAGTTTGAAACATAAGGCCAACTCTGGCCATAATAAAATGAAATTTTGCCTCTGGGTTCAGTGGAGGCAGAAGTAAAAACTGAAACATAGAAACATAGAAGTACAAGTAATTCCATCCAAGTTAAGCAAATTAGGAAAGCGATATCAAAACAATGGTGCAAACATGCAATTAGATGTAATTGTGTTGGCAACAATGAAGAACAGAAAAAATGTTGGTGTTATCTAACTCCTGTCTTAAGGATTGATATAATGAAACTTCAAGATCCTTAGTGATAACAGCGTTACAATTATCATCCCTTTGAGTGCTTCAAAAAAAACGTTATTAGAATAAAAGCAAGAGAAGAAAAACAAGTTCAGTTCCAGTTATGTATAAAAGTCCTTCATCGTATCTAGGTGGCTATGTTACTTGAACAAAATGCCAATTCCTGCTACATATTCTTTGTTACTACCTTTAATTAAATCACAAGAGACTAAATTAGAGGATTGCCATGGAAACTTAGACTGTCTAATAAATCATCCTCAAGTAAATGGTGTAAATTGATTATAAAGGAACTCTTTAAATATGGAAAATAAATAAAATATGCTAACATACAAATCTTACATCATCTTAATTTTTACTCTCTCCTTCCTTCAATAACGCCTTCATGAGTATTGCTTAAAATATTTATGTGTCTTTATTCCTACAAACAACTAATTTACTGTATTTTAACCAGCAAAAAGCATCTGAATCAGCAAAAGAATATTCCCAGAGTATTTCATAATAATCCAAAGTCATTTCTGCAATGGTCATATGTTGCTCTTCAAAAAATATCTAACTGATGTATTATCAACCCAACCAATCACTATGACCGAAATGCAGACTATGACAGAATCCGTCAAATATGCAGTTTCTTCAGAGTACCTACAGCTGTATTTAACAAAAATTGCACATGTATTTTTACAGCAAAAATTACTAACAGTGTAATGTTGCTGATAAAACTATTGAATACTTACATATCTTTGGGTATTTTGATAGGACTGAATTTATGATTTAAAAAAAGGCTAGCAATCTCAACATATTGTTCAGGTTTCTCTAACACTGGTTCTGGAAAAAAAAACCAAAACAACTTGTTAAATATATATTCACACAAAATATTTAATACTTGACACATGATTTCTATAGGTGATTACTCACCCCTAAATAATTTTATTAGGACTTCAGGAAGTAATATCCAAGCACCATGGCATGGTCTTGAATAGAACCATAGAATAATAGAAAGGCTTGTGTTGGGCCCATCCAGCCTGGCCTTGAACACCTGCAGGGATGGGGCATCTACAACCTTTCTGAGCAGCCTGTTCCAGCACCTCGCCATATAGAAGAATATGTCATATAGACATAGAATGTCTATAGAACAGAATGACCAGGGTGGTTTTAGCTGATGTATCACAGGAAAATAATGCGCTTAACGCTCTGACCCTCAGCTTGCAATGTATTAGAAGTGTGTTCAGCCTACCTGTAAATGTATAAAAGTAGCTTGGAACTAAAGCAGGACATTCTGCCTTTGTTGATTTCCTGCTTCTTATGCCAGTCTATTTTGTTAGCATGCCTGTAAAGCCTTCATATTCAAGCTAGCTCATACTATGTACTTAATTCCATTGTGCAGAACAGATAAGCCCCACAATAGATTTAGCCTTAAAACTATTAACAGTTGCAGAAGGACTACTTTCATACTTCAAATGTACAAAAGGTATTCAGAAGCTTTCATGGCTCTGCGTTGGAGTTTCTGCATTGCTCTGATAACATTCCCTCTTCATTTTCTCCAGTACCAAAGACTAATTTCTTGGAGACAGATTAGACACTTCTCAAAGCATTTAAGAAATAATAGATCTAAGGTGAAGTATTATAAAAATAGCAAAAAATAAAAACAAAAAAAAGAGAAAAAGCAATCCCTAACACAGTTCTTTATAAGTTATGCTAATATAACTATGTCCTTGAGAATGTTTATAATGATGAACATGTATTTTAAAATTGATTTAATAGACAAACCTTGAGGTTCAGATTTTGCAACAGTTGTTTTTTTCTGACGGAAAAGCTTCCAGGGAGCAACTGTTAATGCTGGTTGCTTTGCGGCTTCCAGGGAGCAGGATCTAGTTCTAGTGACCAAGACAGGATGGCTGTATGCTTGTGAAAGCCCATACTGTCTCAGCTTCTCTGAAGAATCAGTCTACAAAACATGGAAGTAAAACCTGATTGGCAATAGCTGTCCTTTTTCATCACCTCTCATGAACAAACAGAATGCACAGAGAAATATCCAGTGGTTTGGGTAACAAATGAAATGAAAAAATGGCTTGCCTGACAGAATTATCCAAAAGCAATTAGGATTGATATTCAGCATTAAAGGTATAATTGATTAGTTAGAAGTGTTTACATATAGTTTACTTTTTGTGAAAGATTCACCTCATCTTTAAACTTCTCTGTACAATTGTATTCCTTTAGGTGCTACAGAAAGCACAAGTGGAGATAAGCATAAGTAAGAAAAGTACACTGACAACATTTTGCTTTAAATAAACATGTCACAGGTAGTTTTTCTTTTCTGAAACAAGTCCTTACTTCATGCTGAATTTATAAAGAAGCAGAATTCTAAAAGTGACAGGTCTTTTAGATAATTTGTGATGTCTTCATAATGTAATATCAATTTGAACAAATATGCCATTAAAGTCAAGTGTTTTATCTCCTGGTTAATTTACAAAATGCATTGAAGGCACTAAGGCTGAGCTTTCTAACTGAAGCCCCTAGCAAAGAACTTAAGAGCAGTTATAGATGTGGACATTGAGTGGTGCTCTTCCCATTAAAATAACAATGCTTCAGTACACAAGTTTTTTTTGTTTTTTTTCCCCTCTGCAAAAAGTTCTGTTTCAAGTTTTATGTAGCTTTACTTTGTTTTCAAAAAATACACCTTATTTCAATTGCTAAATAAATCAGTAATTTCCTGATTGCTCCTTCTCATTACCACGTGTTCCTCAGGTGGCACAATTACAAGTGACGCAGAGCAGACTGTGGTTGTGATTGTCAGAGATATTTAAAAGGAGAGGATCAAATAAAATTACATTAAACGCTCTAAGGTACTCAGGCAACATATTTCTGCATTTATAGAGGTATATTGTGAGTGTGGTGACCAGCTACACACACACATCCAAACAACTTAAAAATGAAAGCAAAAACATCTGAAATTAAAAAGGATTTGAAAGAAGACCAGATAGATGCTGTACAGGAAAACTTGTCAGTTGCAGAGTAGAAGACACAGTTGAATGAAACAAACTATTGAGGACATATAAACTAGAAAGCTCAGCCAAAGAGGAAAAAGCAAAACATTTGGAGTGAAATTCTGGTACAATTACAGACAATAACAACATTTCTGCAACAATTCCTTCCTTTTTCTAAACTGTAATTTCCATTGTTGAAGCACTTCTCAGCCCCACAAAGAAAGCCTGGAAATGGGCTTTATTAAAGGAGGACCTAAAGGAGGACCTGTAGTGGACAGTAAATCCACTACATTTCTATATCTACTCTTACCTTCCATCTTCCTATCAGTCTTTACTGAAATACTATTTTAGACATATAGATTCCTCTACCTCATCCTATTTGGTCTGCCATGATGAAATACTCTTTTCCAGAAATCTCTGTACCCTAAAAAACTGCAGCCAAGTCTGAGAGCAAAAGCCTCAGATGGCAGGAAATACATAACCCCCATGTTACTGTTCCCCATTTGCTTTTTTGATTACTAATACCCTTTCCATTCAGAAGCATCTCATCATGATGCATTTTTTCATTCCATGCCTTGTTGTCCAGAGACTTCAGCTCTTAAGATGTACGTGGAATATAACTGAAAAATAAGCAGGGTCATGGCAGGAAAACACATGACCAGAATCTAAGAGGATGTAAGTAAAAAAAACTGAGTCGATAATCACTACTCGGTGTCTGTTTGACTACATTAATTATTATCATTATTTTTTACAGTGCAACTGTCACTAAATTAAACATTCTGATAATAAACATATAATGCTTATTTTCCCCAAGGGTACAGGATTACCATCTGAACTAAGGAAAAAATCTTCTCTTCAGACAAATGTAATGGTATACAAACAGCATAGACTGCCATTTCTGGATGGGTTGGCACAGAAGAACCTACGGAGAAAACAAAAGGTCTCAGAACAAGTTCAATCATAAATAAACATTGTGATCCATCCGTTATTCAGCTTTCTCTGCCTTGTTTTCATTATTCTTCTTTCTGACAGTTATTTCATTCAAAACGAGATTATTGTAAAAATAAGAGAATGGTTTCGGAAGAGAAGCCATGGATGAAAAAAAAACCCAACAGCATCATTTTAATCAAACAGCTCTTACATATTTTACAGTTTTTATAAAAATGAGTAACAAAAACTACAGCTTCAAAATACAACAGGTCAGAAGTTGCTCTTGTACATATTTTTATTTCTCTTCAAAATTTAAAAATACCGGATACTAGCATGAAGTACACTGATTGGCAAGTACTCGCTAAAGGCCTCTCAAAAGTGACAAAAAAGACTGATTTTACCAACAAAAGGATGGAAAATCTGAGCTCTAACACTTCCTACTGACAAGTTTGAAGAATGAGGTAACATTTTGAGAAACAGTGGTCAAAAGCTGGAGTTACTGCCCTTAATCTGCCAAGGAGATAGGAAAATTAGGTAATTATAGCTGGTGCTTCAGGAATTGAGGGGGTCCCCCATACAGTTTGTAACCCCTAGACATCTCTTATACTAGGCAACCACACAATCTTCTCACATCTATAACTGAAAGAAGCCATTGTTACCTCAGAATGATAAAGAGAAAGCAAGACTGGCTGATAGCCAGTACAAAAACGCTGAAGAAAAATGTTAGAAGTCTAAAACCTACAGCATTATAAATATGGATGTGCACTTCCACCTGAAGGTCATCTCATAAAGTATATCAATTTATCCACGTCTTTCCTTAGTCAACTAAGGAAGCATGCAAAGACAGCATTTTAGTGTAGGCACTGTGACACCTGGCATAAGGTTTCGTCTTCAGTTCCACTTCAAATGTTGGACAACTATTTCCTAATTTTATGTATGCCTATTAATGTCAAACTGGAAGTTGCTTTAGGAATAAGTTCCTTTATGTGTGTGAAATGGAATAAGACAATGCTGTTTGCATACAAAGAAAAAAAAATGGAAATGAGAAGAAAAGGAGAGTTGGCATGCGGCTGGAAAGTACAAATAATCAGACTTTTAAAAAGCCATTTATTTAGAAGGTATCAATATCTTTTTCTCAAAGCCGTAACACATCAGCATATTAAATACTTCTTTGGGAATTCCACTTCTTGATAAAATATATGTTGATAGTATGTCAGAATGCGCAAAGCAAGACTTAATTTTTAGAGTACTGTGAATGTAACAATATTGAAAAAAATTGTAATCAAAACGTAATTCTCTAAGGAATTTATTTTTTATTTACTTTTCTTTAAGAAGTTACACAGTAATTTCAAATGAATATTTCTGGCCACCCAGCCATTCAGCAAAGAACATTCCTAGTTGCTGAAAGAACATTTCCCAGTTATGATCTACTGACTAAAGTAGAAACTGAAAACAAATCATTATAGAATAAACTTCGCATTTATTAGTAAAAAGACAGTTTTCCACTAGAAAAAAATCTTGGTCTTACAAGACTTGCCTGGAACTTCTGATTGTTCTGTTAAGATTTGCTTTACCTTTCAGCATCAAATACATATTTCTGCAATATTTTCATGTCATAAGTTATATTCATATGTTAGAAGGACTTCAGATTTTATCACAGCTCATGAAGGTTGCATCAACAATTTTAAAAGAAGTATATTTAATCTTCCCCCAGTTAAGTTAGAAAACTAACAGAAAACAAAGTCTCTTTCTTTAACATTTATATTTTTAGCTTTGATAGCACTTACTCTCTGCTAAAGATTGAGGAGAACACTGCACTTCTGTTGATGGTTCTGAAGCATGAAGCACTGACTTGTTTTTTTCCTTTTCTCCATCTCTACTTTTCTTCTTCCCGGTTTCCTTCTGCTCTGCTTTTTCTGTGAAACAGAATGAAGATGAAATAGATTTTCTCTTTCAGAGGATTCTGCCAGGAATGTTTCTAACATGACGTGGAAGAAGCAAGAGGCAAAACCTTGGACTATAGGAAAAAAAACCCCTCAGATTACAGGAAAATATATCTCTAATTTTAGAAATTTGAAAAGTTTAACAGAGCATCCAAACGCAGTTTGCAGCCTCAAAGATGGACATTACAGAGCTTTACTTAATGTAGCATTTCCCTGATCCTTAGCTATTTCAATTACTGATACAATTTCTAAATCTTAGGCAGCACTAAATTTACAAAGTTTTCTGTGAATATACTACCCAGCCCATTGAATGAATGACAGTGCTGTTCTCAGCAATTGCATCTTGCTGCATGTCCATTCCTAACTCTGAAATATCTTCTACACTAATGGGTGACCTGAAAAATAATAACAAGAGCTCCTGAGTAGAGATCTCAGCCAGGTCTCTTTAAAATGTTCCTAAAACCTTTGACATAGTATTTGGGATTCAAAGCTAGCTAGGAAGGTAGTTTTTTCAATGGGAAGAAATAGAAATTCCAGAGTACGATTTGTATTTTTCACTAATATTAAGTGAAATTGCATCCATGCCTAACTTAAAAGTCAAAAGCAGAAGATCAGAAAACTCAGCCTCAAGCATAAATGTTACAGGTACAAATACATTTCTAAGCATCAGTATTTTCATTTAGCATTTCTTGAAGAAAATACCTAGTAGCATAACAGAAAAGTTACCATAAATAAAAATGTAGACGAACATTAGTATGTGGATGTCAGTACACTCTATATGCAATCACTCTTTCTGACACCCATCATGAGATATATATTTTCTGGATGGCCTGAACAGCTGTCTTTGGGGAGACTAACCTCTTCAATTATAATCTCTCTGCAAGGAACACTGTATTCCTTCTGTGAAACACCGCTTCTAGTGAGGTCCATAGTTAAAACACAGCTTCTTTGAATTCACAGCATTGCAAAACATTTGGCAAAACAACAAACCAACAAACTTTCAGGTGGCATAATAAAGATATATAAACCTGAAGACAGGTTATGTTAACCTCATTTACGCTCAGCCTGCAAAGATAACACTACCTACAACTACAGACCTTTGTCAGATTTCTCTGCTTTCTCAGGTTTATCTGGCTGTTTGTTCACAGATGAAATTTCATTTTTCAACACTGAGACTTTGGCCTCCTTAGGTTTTGTATTTGCCTGAGAAGTATTCTCATCTGTCCACTTAAATTCTGGCACAATCATTTTCAGAAGGTCCCAGACTTTATCCAAGTATCCAAGCCTTAAAATAAAAATAAACATATATATATCACTGTTAATGATATTTGGAATAAGAATGTCTGATCTTCATTTAGACAAAACTATAATACATCTGGCAGTCCAACTCTTGGAAAAATTACCGAGTGATTTTAGTAAATAAAACACATTTGCCTGATTTTGTGTGGCAGCCAAGAGGGAAAAAAAAAAGTAAAACAACAATGACAAAATGATCAACAAAACACCCAACACTTTGTTAACAGACAAATCCATAAGGAAAGAGATGGTGTTTGCAGAACCAAGTAAATTAGGCATCTTTTCCTCGAGCTTTCTAGCATATAAAAGTTGTGGCAGGAAAATTTGAAGAGCATTTTGCAAGTACACTGCATAATTATCTGATTCTGGCTCTGTACATTAAAAATGTCTTCTTGAAGGTACTTCCAGAAAACATTTTCCTAACTGTCTCAACACAGGCTGTTCTACACCTCTTCCACTGTTTCCACCATCTACAACAAGGTTTTGACAGGACATTGCAGTTTCTGCTGCATCAGTTCACCACGGAAACACAATGATTCCAGAAATAATCTAAAACTGAAGAAATGATAAATAAGTTTAATGGAAGCTAACAGAAGGAAACTTTCTTTTTACAAGTAAACAACTGGTTGTACAACAGGCTAGACCCATTTTTATATCACTACTGCAAAAATTCTATGGTCTTCACATTTTCTTATTGCATAATTTCATGTTTGCTTTACGTGTCAGATTCAGGAATACTGTTTTTATTGTTTCTATTTTAAAAATTAACTACATAAAGAAGCAAAATCAAGGTTGTCAGATTTCTAAGTCCATGGAATGCAGACACACTACCAGGTAAAAACCTAAATACATAAAAAATTCTAAGCTGCAAGCATAGCCCACGAGTGCTAAAATAACAGATGAGATTGAGCATGACTGAACTTAATTTTGAAATATTGTCATAAATAAACAATTTTACCTAAGCATAAATAAACCAACATTATTATTTCTATATACTCATTAGAGTGTATCTGTCAAACAGCAAAATTAAAAAAAAAAAAGAGCATAAAAAAAAAGTCTAGATGGTTAGAGCAGGCATCCCCAGCTATTCATTCGATAAAAATATAATGATATCAAGCTGTAAAAAAATCAGAATGCCATTATGTTAATGGCCTTAAAACTTAAGAAACAAGAAAAAAAGAAATATTGTTATAGGTTGGAAATACTATTTTTGGAAATAAAAGTGTAGCAAGTATTCCAATTTAAAATAAAAGAAATCATATCAGATGGTTTACTTTCAAATTCAAATTCAAGTAGTATACTCTTAATGGTACATTAATATATAAAGCTATCAGTATTACTGGCACATATTTTATATCTTTTTTGATCTTGTATACAGATATCTCTCACCCTGTTTTCACCACAGGGTTCGCTATTAATCCAAAATAAATTCATTTAAGAAAGAAAAATAATCATAAATAAGTTTACAAGCAACTGAATTACATGCAAATAAAAACACAACAAAACTGCATTGCTTGAAGAATTAAAGCAAGAATTAAAACCTTACAGTCCCCAAAACTGACACTGAAGGACTTCTAGGACTCAGCTTAATTTTCATTATCCTTTATAGAACTATACAATTAACAAATATATGAATTGTTTAATATAAAAACTTACTGGAGAGGAATAACTTCTGGTATCCACCCAGTCAGTGCATGTAGAACTGTAAATTCCTCCAGCTCTCTTTTCTCATTTTCACGTAAACTGTAAGACAAAAAACAGACATTACATAGACCTATATTATAATCAATTCATAGTAAACTCTTAGCCTACACTGAAAGATCATACATAATCAGAAAAGGGAACTGCTTAAAATCAAATAGTTAATGGCAATTTTCCAACCCACAGGTGACTGGCCTACAGGTTCTGTAGGCTTTGCTCCTTTGCCTTTGCATTAAGACTGTTCTATTAGTGCTCCCTCCTGTACAATGGCATCATTTCAACATAGTTAGCAAGTACATCTATACCAACACACAGAAAAGTCTCTTTTTGCAGTGTTGGAGAACTGGGTCTGAAATCCCATCATACCCACAGGGGATAAAAGTCTAACACTTCCTTTCCCAGAGCAACTGCTCTGACTGCCAGATTTCCATACAACAGTTGGATGCATTTCCAGTAGAACACATAACTCTCAAATGGATCTATGCGCAGAGTGGAGTACAAGAGGCTGTAAAGCAGCCCCGTGGAAAGGGATCTGGGGGTTCTGGCTGAAGGCAAGTTGAACATGAGCCAGCAGTGAGCCCTGGCAGCCAAAAGGGCCAACTGTACCCTGGGGTGGGTGAGGCCCAGTGCTGCCATTGAGAGAGGAAAGGAGTTGTCCTCTCTGCTTTGCGCTGTGTGGCCTCACCTCAAGCAGAGTGTGGGTTCATGTGCCACAATGTGAAAAGGACATAAAGCTTTTAGAGAGCATCCAAAGAAGGGCTATGAAGTTTTGCACTTTAAAGGCCTTTTTCCTATCAGGCCAAGCATCCTTTTTTTTTTTTTTTTTTTTTTTTAAATAAATGCTAGCGAAACATTCTGCAAGCATCTTTTATATTACTGTATAATACATTTTTATCTATAATGCTTACTATTGTTAAAATAAAAGCTCTTTGGCATTCCACAGTTTGATTAGTTCATTTTGTCTTTCAAAGTGTATGTAACAACAATATATAAAAAAAAGTTCTTAAACAAAGGAAATGTCCAGTAAATAACCTAGAATGTACACTAAATGATTAAACTTCCATGAGACTTAGTTCAATAAATCTAAAACATTAGGTATAATAAGGTGCAAGACCTGACCTTCAGAATACGCTGCTAATAAAAGTCCACCAAAAATAAAATATTGTAACATATACTAGTGCTTCATGTTGAAAAACACCACTCCATTGCTTTCCCTCTTTATTCTATTCAAAATTATTAATTTTTGAAAGGGTAATTTTTAAGCTAAAACAAAGCATAATTTTTAGAATTTTAAATTACCCTGAAGTACTTCTAAACAACTTCATTTGTCCAAAGTATATTTTTTCTCTCCTACAGCAATGAGCTTGAGTGCCTCCTTTTTTTCCCTCTTCTGCTTATGTATTTTGTTTCAACTGTGAATGCATTCTCCTTCAAAAGTGAGCTGGAAAGTCAGAATGCCCATCAGGATGCACTGCTGCTCCTCTCGAACTGCATGAAGGAGACTTTCCTTCCTTCCTTTGAAAACAAGATACCTTTTTGCCTACACCAGAGGGACAAATATTCTGTCTCCATAGTCCTTCAACTTTTTCATCTCACCAAACAGGACAACCATCAAGGACATTGCAGATTACCATCTTCAGTCCTCTTGGACCAGATTCCATTATGTCATTTCTTGTAATTCTAGAGCAACTAGTAACTGGTTGTATCAAAAGTTTTTTTTTGGTTGTTTTTTTTTGTTTTGTTTTTTTTTTTTTTTTTTTTTTTTTTTTTTTTTTTTCTTTTTTTACAAATAAGCAATATATTAACTGCCCATATTACATTCACAAGAACTACTTCATTAAAACATCTTGAATATTTCCATTTGACAGAAAAAAACCCCACATATTAAGAGGTCTGTGAATAATAGCAAAGAACTAAAGCAGATCAGGAGATAACTCCAGTTTTGTTGCTGTTTTTTTGTCTGTTTTGTGGTGTTTTTTTTTTTTTTAGTTTTCTGTGCATAAGTACACAAACACACATTTTAAAATTAAAAAAAGTACCTTCTGTTCCCACAGAGAGCCTTGCTTTACTGATCTACTTTAACTTTCAGAAATGTATTTCTCATTATAAAACTTTCAGTGAAATATATTCCCCACATGTACTAATTTTTTTCCAAATTCTATACAATTCCACAGAAGAAAAAAAAAAGCAACCTGAGAGAGTTGACTAAAACATACCTAGTATTTGCCAGCTTAATTATAGCTTTAGACAGCAGCATTGGCCAAAGTTCAGTTTGACATGTTGTAGCTGGCAGTAACAAATTACCCTCTTCGCTAAAAGGCATAGTGTCATCCACAGTGATCTTTCTCCAGCAGCCCTATGGTGGAGGGGAAAAAAAGAAGAAAAAACACTGAACTTGTAGTCCAGAAACAGAACACGTATGTAAGAGAATTCTGTTTTCCCACAAATTGAATTCTACTGTAATTTGATCTATATTATGGATTTTCATATAATATCACAGAAGTAATGAAACAGTCTCATAGCATTTTATTACTACTCAGACTTTTTGCAGTCTGTTTTACCGAGCTTAGTCTAATTGTAGCTATTCTAATTGCATCTATTCCACACGATTTGCAAAAAAAATAATTTTTCCTTATCAGTTAACCACTGGTTCTATCAAGTACTAAGTTGTAAAAAAATAAATAAATAACTGTTTAATGAATTTTCATTAACATGCACCAAAAATTAATTGAAACTTCTCCTCCTGCAAAAGTCTTTTCAACAATTATACATTTTTCTCCTAATGTATAAATGTATGCTGCTAAATGCATAAAATTTATACATGGCTGAAGGTAAGTACTCACCATCCAATACAGTTTCACTACGTATTTTCCATAGCTATTGTACAGAGGCATGTGTCCCTTAGCAGTTTTAGTGGAGGGATAAATATGTTCCCACGGCCTCCAAAACAGTGCGGATGTTCCAATAGATAAGATCTTTTCATTAGATATTTTCCAGAGAGCACAAATCTCACTTATAATCCATCGCATCAGCTGAAAGCAAATAGAAATACATCAACAAAAAAAAAAATTCTGCTTATATTTTCTAATTAAATTAATTTACATTAGCATGATGAGCAAATAAAAATGACTCCTGTTTTAAATGAAGAAATGACACAAAACCATAAGCAATGGCTTACTGAAAAAAAAAAAAAATCAGATAAATTTTTCTGAAAATCTTGTTTAACAAAGAATTTTATTACAGTGAGTACAGGCACACAACAAATAATGCTGCTTGTCACTTGCCAAAGAACAATGGGAAGATGTGTTTTCAAACAGTAACAATTTTTAAAATTTCAAATTTGAGTTTTAATTAATTTAATTAATTTTAGATCCTGTTTTATTTCTTTTTAAGATACAGATCTACTAAATATGCTGTAGCTTCAAAAGTATTACCAGCCTGGAAATATAATGGTTTATATGGAAAAAATAAGAATACCTTTTTACAAGAACAAACTTGTACTAAATTGGTGATTCTGATTGACCACAAAGATTAAAAAGAGATGAGAATAAATAAAGATAGACAAACAAAGAAATAAACAAGCAACACACAAATAAAAACTAAATATTTCTGTATTTCCACCTACCTCACTACAAAATAAATGTTCATTTGCTGAAAAAAGGTCACATGAGATCTCATTTTTGACCACCACAGGAGTCTAGGAGAAAGTAGATTAATTAAAATTAATTAGTCTATAGCTAAATTATCAGAAAAAAATTGAACAGTAATAACAAAAAAAAAAAATCAGATATTTTGCAAGCTTTTATTAGCCTTTTACAAACTAAAGGCTACTGGCTTAGAAATCTTTTAGCTGTCTTGATGTTTCTTAAAAGTGTCTTTAAATGCAGACGTTCAGAATTAAAACTAATAATTGTTCTTATCAGATTTAGAAGTAGAACACAAAAGCATATAAATCGAGATTTCATCAGATTAGTCACAATATTAGCAGTTCTGCACTTAAATATCAATGATAACACTGTTTCATACTCCGAGATTTCCCTGAGCCTCCAATGTGATGCAAAAGTTCATTTAGATTGTTTGCTTGTTTTCTTAATTTCCTGTCAAATGCTGAAAGTTTGTCTACATTTCATACTGTAAGGGGCAAAACAGTAGAGAGTAGAAATCAAATCATTTCTTTCAGAGCAGCCCATCCATAAGTACTCAAACTTTTATTTGTATTACACAATTTTGATTACTAATACTCATGAATGCAGTCAATTTCCTTCCTGCAAGCATTTTAGAAGTACTATATTAGGGTTGTATTTTACTGAACTAAGTATCCCTGTGCCTCTCATCACTTATTGGTGATCACTGCTTGATTCTATGTTTATCACACTAAATAGCACTTAATAGCCTTCCATCAGTTCAGATTCACATTAATTTTTAATAACTTACAATACTCCTCATCACTATCACTATTTGATCCAAAACACATTGAACTATAACAACCACCTAAGTTTAATCAGCTCTTAAAGCCAACCTCTTCTTCACAGTGGTCTAAATATAGTTTTGAATTTATTTTTAATATAGAGACATGTTTCCATGGCTTTCTGTGCTCCTGCCCTTATCTTTTAGATCCCTCTACTCAGTTTGTGTGTGTTGGCAGCACTTCTCATCCAATCTTCCAGTCTTGTCAGTTACCTCCCTGATTTCTTCCATTCCTCCATTAAAAATGAATCTTGGAGCTGCTTAGTGTCTAGTTAATAAGAAATAAAACTGACAAGCTGATAAAAGGAAAAATGACAACATTAAAAATGTTTAAGGATGATCACAGTGCTTAAAAAAATGTTTAATTTGAAGAAAAAATGCTTTAAACCTAAAAATCAACAACTGCACTGGAGAATGCTCCAACCTTTGAAATTGGAGGCTGCTTGTTTTCTTTGCAATTCATTTAAAAATGAAAATGAAGAAAAGCTTCGCACAATTTTAAAATATTCTGTTTGCCTTCCAAACAAGTACTGTCAAAGATGTAGACACATTCTGAATGCATACAGTTGAAATGCAATATTTAAGGTGGGAGAGTGAGAAGTAATATGTTAACACTAAGTTAATCCATGATTTCAGGAAAAGATATTTTACTGCTCAAGATGTCTTGGCTGGAACAAAGAAAGCTTGTTTTGCCATAACACTGATGTTTAAAAGTAAGAAAACAGGAACACAAAACAAGATGACATCTCTCTCATCAGGTGCTTTTTAAAAGAACATCGAGGAAAAAAGCAGAGCAGAGATGGAAGGGTACAATACCATGTTGTTTTGTACCAGGAAGTGCTGGTGCACTCAGACACAGTAAATTATCATTTAAAACATTATGTATTACAGCCAACACTATAAAGAAAGGGATTAAACTTTACATCCCTTCAGATGCTGTGAACCCCAGGATGCGCATGCATGTTAACCACTGTGCAGATTAACAGCTCCTGGATGCACAACAGACACATGATCATGTGGATACAGATACCTCCATCTTTTGAAGTAATTTCCTCTGCTCTTGTGACGTAGCTGGGTAGACTTTGTTTCCATTATGATTTGATTATTTCTTACCTCATTTGCTGAAAACTCTTGTGGTCGTTTCCACGAATGTACTTTTAAGGATGCTGGCAATTCTATTTTTCCTTCAGGATCATCAAAGACAAGCTATGTAAAAAACACACACACAAAACAAAAACAAAGAAAAAGTAACTTAAAAGAAAATTAATTAGCCTATGGTGTTTTCCACAAGATGTAATTTTTTGTTCACATTATATCTATAACAGGACTAAAACAATGTAAAGTCCAAACTGACAATTCAGCACAAAAACTGCTTATTCTGTTCAGAGAAATCAGTGCGGTATGCACTGCCAAACTGTTCTACACTGAATGTTTCCACTCTTCCCCACCACTGAGAACCCCCTCCCTCCCCACCTGAAATGTTTCATTCAAGACGCCAATCTGTCATGTCATTCCTAAGTATTTTTTCTAAGTCACTATTTCTAAAGTTTTTAAAGTTGAAATCTGAAAGTAAATTTCTGAAGCAATCATTTATACATGAAGCAATTGAAATTGCCATAGAAATGAGGAGAGCTACAACTATACACCCATGAGTTAATTTACGAAGTAACCGTTGAAGAGAAGGCATCATATACTTTTCAGATTTCCATTTCCAAAGTGATACTTACTCTCCGCATAACCAGAAAGCATCAGGATACCTGTTTACCTAAGAGCACAATGTAGGACGAGCACGTGCCTCTGATACTGATCATATTGCCTGAGAAACTGATCAGCTACACAGTTACTGCATTGTATTTGTGCCAAGAATGTTAAATAGATTTAGATTTACTATACGTTCCTGTGTGCTTCATAAGCCAAATCACGTCTTTTACAGGCCAACTAAGAGAAAGAGTTTCTAGGGTGGAAAAACAATGCTTTGAGTACTTACTGATCAAAGGAAGGCAACTGAAAATACATCTCACAGTCATGAAAAAAAAAAAAAAAAAAAAAAAAAAAAAAACAGGCAACCAAAACCTAAACTTAAAGTCTCCCAAACTATTTTTTCACATTTATATCTCATTTGCTTCATTGTGTAAGCTCCTTCAACATACCAATCTGCAACACAAACTCTATAAAGTATATGAAGGAAGTAACCACACTTTCAAGCCCAACTGATGATCAGACAAGATTCAAAAGACATTCTAGAACTGGAAGGGCTGAGGATTTTCTGTGTCGGCTAAATGTTTTACTTCATGCAATGTAACAGCAGATCCTCTACACTCCAGAACTGCAAACAGTTTAGTACGTCCACAAACTGAGGTGTGCAATAGGAAAGACCTCAACCTGCAGTTTTTTCCACATAAAAACACTGCTAAGATAGGTGCATTCAAGCTTTTGAATCCGAAGAGCCTGCATAGAAAGGATTGTGCATGTTACAACAGTTTGCCTTCTTCTCACATCCTCAGCTTCAATTGTGCTATGAAATAGATTTGGGGGGTTGTAAGTTTTTAAACCATTAATGTGATACTAGTATTAACATTTCCTTTAAGATGCAGCAAATGAACAGTGCACAACATATTTATTTATTAATTTATTTTGTTATGAAACTTCTTAAAGTTATAGAAAAGAAATGTTGAAAATATTACCTGCAAAAAATAATTTTAATAGATTATTTCTCATAACTTTAAGTACAAAAACTGACAAGGTACAAAAACAAAACAAAACAAAACAAAAAACACACAGGTCACACAACTTACAGAGATAGGACTTTTCCCAGCCTTTTCTTTCTCTTTTCCAACTTTTGCAGAATCCCATTTTTCTGCACTGATGTCAGCTTCATTCCATTCTGGCCAAATGGGAAATCTTGAAGCACCTACGTGGTAGATTGGTACACTGGAAAACAACCAGATGCATGAACAAAATTCTGCTGTGCAAAGATTGTTAACAAACAAAGCATTCACTTTTTTACTATAATGAAATAATAAAAATGTAGCGTTAGTAATTGCAGTAACTTTTTGTCACTAAGATAAGCAAGATTATAAAATTGCCCGATTTTAGAGGTTGTGAACCAACTAAAATATTTCAAATGAAGAATCCTGCCTTAAGTTAACGGGACAGATGAAGCACAAAATGAGAATCCTGTTGACTGATTTCCTCCTTCTTCCTTTCCTGCTGCTTCAATCCACAATTCTCCTTTCTTTTCTACGCAAATCCCAATTTATGGGATTCACAGCTTGAGCAAGAAATGATGCACAGTGCTGTTGCTCGCCACCAGCAGGATGAAGCCCAGACAGTCCCTGAGCAGCCCCACTGGCCAACTCCATCTGGTTTTACTGTTGATCACCATGTCTTATGGTATAAGACATCCCTTTGGTCAGGTGTGGTCAGTTGGTTCTGCCCACTGTCAGCTCCATGTGCACACCCAACCTCCTAACTGGCACCACAGTGGGAGAAGCAGAAAAGACCTTGACTCAGTATGTAAATAGCATTTTCTCTCCAGCTTCTTCTCCCTGGGCTTCTGTGACCTTAGATAATAGTAATTTTGTGACTCAGAAAAATAATGGATGCTTTATGTAGGTCTTTTACAATATATTAGTTCACCATTCTTTCTACTTCTTACTCTCCTCACACATTTTCCATTTATAAATTAGCTTATAAATTTAGAAACAAAATACTCTTTTCCTAACCTCCTCCTGCGAAAGCCATGTCACTTATCATCTTGTTGATGATATCACATTCACTAATGGAAAAAAAAATAATGAAGAGAGGAAAGAAAAGAAAAAAATGCCACTATTATAATCAATAATCAATATCTCTATTGCATCAAGTATTTGGTTTCAGCTGCCCCAGTAATATAATCAAAAATGTAGATACTCAGTGACAGGCAACAGTTCAGAGCACGGTGGAATATCGAAGTATAAATGTGCAAAGTAATGAGTAGTATAGAAAAAAGTGAGCATGCCACTCTGGATCTCAGTTCCTTTCCATCTGAGCCCTGTGAGAAAAACAGAGGAAGCTGAGGATCTCTTTTTAAAATATTTCTTTCATATAATCATACCTGATTCTAAGAAGCAACGTGAAGTCATGTTTCCCCAGCTACTTGTACATCACCCAAGAAATTACGAAACTAGTTACTTTTCTGAGTTTATTTCTTGCAGTGTTTCTTCTTGCGAAGACAAACCTGATCTTCAGCCACAGGAATACTGGGAAGATTGCAAAACATCTTTCCAATACTTCTAAAAAACATGACATGAGCTTTGTTCCTCTTTTTGGCATTTCTACCATGTTGGCTTCCATAAAATAATTTTGTGCCTTCTGTATGGCACCTGAGTAATTAACTAAAAATCAAAAATCTCTATGTCAAAGCACCTCAATTCTGTGAATTTAGGTCAACTCATTTGCAAAGTACTTAGAAGCTTTGATAAGAACACCAGGAAAGCCCATTTCTTCAGTGCTGTTACACAGATCTCTCAGAAAAAGATAAAGACAGCTCTGCTTAAGTAGATGAATAACCTGTAGCAAACAGAATCTAACAGGTTATTTCAGGAATGTTTTCCAGTGCCAAAGCACAGCTATTACTATTTTTTTCTTTCTGCTATACTGTTTTCCTGCATAAAGATGTTTCCTGCAAGATTGCTCTGAGTTACAGAGAAAAACAAACAAAAAACTCTATAAATCTAAGACCAACGGGGAGTACAGCATTTATTGTGACATTGCCACTGATAAATTACTGAATATTTTCTTGTGCGTGAGTCTATGAAATTTGAAGGCTACAGATTGCAGCAGACTGAGCTCTCAAGGAGTTCATTGTTTTAATTAGAATTAACAACAAAAACCAATATGAATACATATTCTTCTAATTAAAATGTAACCTAATCAAAATTCAACATATTGGTTTGCTTCTATGCTATTTTAATAAGTTTATCATACTTACTTTGGAAAGAATGCATTTTTCTATCACAAAGTATGAGACTACGCAAAGTTATAGGTAGAAGATAAAGAATTGCATTAAGAAATTGACTACACAAATAAAAATTAGGCAAAGATCCATTATACAGAGTATACACTGAAATATTTCAAACAATAGAGTATTTCAAGCAAGCTCTCCATCTTCTTGGACAGAAAATATTAACTCAGAAAATTCTAGGTGTATTTCACTGTACTTCTGAGAATAGTAAAAATACTGGCTACAGAAGTGAGAGTTATTCACAAATACAATAAGATACACAATAAAAGACAATAAATGGAAAGTGGATGCTTTATGCTCTATCACAACTACACACTCTCCAGAAATACCTCTATTTTTGGTTGGATTACAATTTCATATTAATGAAGTAAGGGTATTCAGGTGCACACTGATGCAATGAATAACTTCTCAAGAACATTCATAAGCCAAGCAATTTCACCCAAATTGAACCTAAGATCATGATGTGTGCAGACTGCTCTGAAAGTAATGCCTCCTATATATTTCCATGGAAAACAGATACGAAGAGATATAATAACACTATTACATAGGCAAACTCTCACCTACAAAACATTATTTTTCAACACCATTAGCAATGCATTTTTTTTCTAGTAATGAACAAGAATCTGCCATTCTCATTAAAATGTGCACCAGCAGAGGTGGCCCACTACTGCCACTGCCGAAATGCACCACTAACCATCTCAGTGCGCACGCTGTTTGGTCTCCAGAAATTTTCAGCAAGCTTTGATGAACGTCAGTGGGTGCCATTATTTCCACGTGGAGGAATTCAGTGACACACCTTTGCTTCATATGCACTTCCGTGTCAGATGTCATTGCGTCAGACTGCCCCTCTGCTGCCATCTGTCGCACAGCAACAACATGTAATCAAACATCGGTGGGAAGGTTCAACCTCTACTGCCATACCACCAACATTTCCCTCTGATGTTGTAAGCCAGTAAAAAAAAGTAGACTGCATTACTTCCGGAGTAGCCCTTGGATTTACCCAGTAACGTTTCTATGTCTAGAAAAAGTAAGCAAGTGCATGGTGGTGTGCTTTGCTCTTTGTTTCAGATAGTTAAAATTCAATTTACAGAGACATTTCTGCTCATCGGCTCGGCAATGCAAAGTCAAGCCCACTACAAATTTACATTGCTTCTAAGTTATCTGAGAGAACAAGAAGCTCCTTGTCACATTGGTTAGTCAATAATAAAACAAGCCCCTCCAAAAGGCTCTGGACAGCCATTCAAAACAAAAGAATTCTGTCCATCTTAGGAGTGATTGCAATTAACAGAATACTAAATGAGATTATGATCTCAAAACACCTATTCCTCAGAATAATCAGGAAACTAGCTGCACATTGGAAATGAACAGCTGTTACAGCCCAAGAACTACAGCTCAAACATTATTTGTTATAATCATAACCTCAAAACTATTTTTAATGGCAGCCCAATTCCAACAAACATGGTAGAATTAACCCTTAAATAGATATGACTAATCCAAAAAAGCAAATGTAGAGCACTGGAAATAAACTGGACTAGTACCCTGTCTTAGTTTCAGCTGGGACAGAATTGCTTTCTCTTCACAGTGCCTGGTTTGAAGCTATGCTTTGGTTTTAGGACAAAACAATGTTGATAACACACCTATGTTTATCATTGCCGCTAAACAGCGCCACACAGAGCCAAGGACATTCTCAGCAAAGGGCCCAAACAGCTGGGAGAAAACAGAATTCACATATATATTTTTGCCTTTTCCTTTTCGCTTAGTATATAGATTTATCACAGCCCACACGTTCTACTTTGTCTTTTTTTATTCTCACTGCCATCTCACTGGAAAGGGGTGCAAGTGAGCAAATGAATGTGTGGTGCTGAGTCACCGCTGGGTTACATCACAGTATATCCTCAGCACCTTTTGTCTGAAATTTTAGCCACGCTTTAAGCCTCTAGCAGAACATAATTAGAAATCACCAAGCCATATTCATCCCTGCGGGATCAAGTACACTCTCATCAAGTTTGTGGATAACACCAAGCTGAGTGAGGCAGCTGGTACGACAGAAGAAATGGATACCATCTGGAGGGACCAAGACAAGCTTGAAAACTGGGTCCATGTGAACTTAATGAGATCAACAAGGCCAAATGCAAGGTGTTACACTTGGGTCAGGACAAACCCAGATAAGTGTACAGGATTTGAGAAGAAGAACTTGAGAGCAGCCCTGCTGTAGATTATCTGGAGGTCCAGATAGACAAAAAGTTGGACATGAGCCAGCTCTTGCAGCCTGGAAGGCCAACAGTGTTCTGGGCTGCATCAAAAGAGGGGTGGCCAGCATTGCTGCTCCCATGAGGTTCCACCTGGATTATTGCACCTGGGCCTGAAGCCTCCAGCACAAGAAGCATACATAGTTGTTGGAGTGAATCTAAAAAAGGGCCACAAATAAGATCAGAGGGCTGGAGCAATTCTCCTGGGAAGAAAGGCTTTTCAGCTTGGAAAAGAACAAGCTCTGGGAGATCTCATTGTGGCCTTCCAGTACTTGAAGGGAGCTTACAAACAGGACTTTTTACATGGTCTGATAGTGACAGAAGAAGGAGGAATGGTTTTAAGCTAAAACAGGGAAGACTGTGGGTTACAGATAACTGGAACAGGCTCCTTAGGGAGACTACGGAGTCTCTTTCTCTGGAGATATTCCAAACCCATCTAGACACTTTCCTGAGCAACCTACATTAGGGAACCTGCTTAGTAGAGGGGGTGGAATTGATCCAATGGGTCCCTTCCAACCTGTACAGTTCTGTGATCAGATTTTAGGAAGAAATTTTTCTGCTCACAGGGTGGTGAGGCACTAGAACAGGATGCACAGAGAAGTTGTAGATGCCCCACCCCTGGAGGTGCTCAAGACTAGGTTGGATGTTGGATGGGACCCTGGGCAGCCTCATGTGGT